AATTCTGCCTCAAATTCCAAGTCTTATGGGAGCCACTTTGCCAGCTGACAGCTCTTCAGCACAGGAGTCGAGGGCAGAGAAGAGAGTGGGGAATGCACAACTCTTACGCATGGTTGCAGGACTGATGCATGAGGAAGAGACCAAGGGGCCTATCCTAACAACACCTGGAATACTTGTGACTTGCTCTGCTCAGCTTAGTGCGTGTACTTGCTCCTTCTTGCATATGCTGCTGTGTGGTGTCGCCAGTGCAGAACTGCTGCTTTTCAGTTCTTTTAAGTGGCTGCGTGTGTGGAGGGCAGGAGTCCCCATAATCTGTGCAAGTTTGAGTCAGCTGAGCATGACTGTCAGCTGCTGCAGCTGGCATCTTATCTGCTCATCTACAGATGGGGCAACCTTGTTTTCTGTTTTTTGGAGTGGGACAGGGCAACTCGATATGCAAACTGCTCATTATGGGGGTTGTTGGAAGACAGTGTTATGTCAAAATAGCTGTAAATATCTTTGAAGTGATTCTTTACAAAGGTACTTAACCAAAGTTAGTAGGAGTTTTACAGAGCATCCTGAAGTGTTATTACTGCTCAAGTTTGCTCTCTGCCATGGTATTTGTTTGGTCTTCACCCATGTCTTGTGTTTCGTCTTTGATGTTCTCTTTATGAAACAGACTCTATGCATATAGGTACCTTTAAGTGATATAGACCACTTATTAAATGAAGAATATCATAGTATTTTCTTCTCTTGTATTTCCCAGTGTAGGGCTTTTGAGGTTTAATCATTCCATGATTTGATTTTGTTATTCTCACCTTTAAGGGTGATCATGGTATTGGTAGGGATAGATATTTAGGCAAAGAGTGAAATGAAAGAGCCAATCTTGATCAGAGTGTCTTATTTTTAGTTACTTTTACTTATAAGCTATTTCAAATGTAGGCAGTTTTATCTGAGCATAAAAGATTTGTCCAGTAAGTTGTTAGCAAGAGTTGAAAATGCTTCAATGAAATTGAAAGGCATTTAGGAATAAAACTGTCAAGATAGCTAAAATGGGATTTAAGAGACAGTAGTTATTTAGGTGCTCTTGAAATCATTTTGTGGAATTTCTGAATAAGTTTTTGCTAAATCAGTAATGTTTTAAATGATTAAGCCTGAAGAATATTTAAAATCTGATTTATTTATCATTGCTCATCCCATTTGTTCCCTTTCAATTTTCTCAGTCTGCCTAATGAAAAGTACTAAATTTAATTGCATGGTTTTCACTTTTAGATGCTGAACAGATGATAATTAGGTTAAAAATGCAGATCTGTGCTTGTTGGTTAAACAGGATGGTTTCTGATGCCGTTTCTGAAATAATGACCACTGTTCTGCCTGTGTCGCTCTGGGGCAGTGACCTGGTCAGATTTTGAGCTATTTTGTGTCCCAGCATCTGGGTAGCCTGCTTGCTAAGATGTGTTATTAGCTAAGAACCTAGAGCCTGCGTACTCCTGACATCTAATGAACGTTACGTTGGTGCCTGTGTCTTTCCTCATTCTGCAGCTGGGCACATAGATATTTTGTACTTTCACGAAGCCTTGGTGAGCCAGCGAGGTTCGCTGTGGGTTCATAAGCCAGGCTCTGCAATGGTGATTACAAGGTCAGGCCCTTAACTGTAGCCATCTTGGAACCAAATTATAGATCATTCAGCACCAGGCATCTTTGAGGGCATTTGCAGCTGTTTTGGAAGTCAGTTTGTGTTTGAAGGCCATTTTAATGTAATGGTTTTTACTCTATATGGAGTTCTCATTGGCTAAGCAAGAAATTTTTACTTGAGTATGACTTTGTGCTGTAAGACTTAGAGTGAAGGGCTTCACTGAATGTACCAGGTTGCAAGGGGTTAGTAAAAATATTAGTTACCTGCACAGTCTGAAAAATGAACTGAAAGAATATACCTCAGTTTAGTCTTTCTAATTTTGCTTTGAGAGATGCTGCCTATCTCGAAGAAGCTATTTGCTGATCAGTTATGCTCACAGGTACCACAGGCACAATTCTTTGCTTGAAGGAAGTCAAGGCAAGATTGACATTTTATAAACTATATTAGTGCATAAAATAATGAGTAATTATTGGTGCCTTTAGTTGTCACTGCGTAAGTGATCACTGTTTAGTGCTGTCAAAACTTGCCAAAGAGCTTTAGGAATGTCTTTTAATAGCAGTACGTGCAGTGTTCCTCTGAGCAGACAAAAGCAAACGCAAACACTTTTGCCTTTGCTTAGCTTGGTTGTGTCAGGGAAGAGATGGCCTCTTGATTAAATCCAGATTGAGCAGCTTCCTGTTAGCCTGCAAGCTCAGCCCACGAGGTCTTATTCTGAAAGTCTGTTATTGAACTCAACTGCCAAGTCCTTTTCCTTTTAAACTTGCACGCAGGGGTGCAAAAATAATACAATCTTTGAATGTCTCTTAAAATGACTTCTACAACTTTAATGTTTTGTTGACAAATTCAGTTTTTCAGGGTTTAGCACTCTTGTTTTTTTCTTTTATTTTTTTAAATGTTCTTTCAATGTAATGTCTTGATGAAATGACAATTAAAGGAAACTTCTGTCCATATATTAATCTTGGAAGCTTATTCTTCCCATGTCTGGCACATCTTATCACGATTTTATACACACTGAAATCAGCATATGGCCTTAATTTAATATGTCAGGACAGAGGGAGTAGAGGGAGTATTCAGCCAGTCTGCTTTTCCAGTCCAGGGCACTGTGGAGCTGCATGGAAGCTTCTTTCAGTGGCTTGTATGAAGTGGTGTCATTTTACAGGTGAGATTTAGTGATGTGTTTCCTTGCACCTCTGCTTACCCATGGTGTCTGTGTTTATGATCTGTTGAGGGGTTCCTTGCGTCTTGATCCAGCGAGATGCTCCAGGCTATTCCAGGGCTTTCTACAGACACACAGACTACTTTTCTACCAAAAAAGCCCAGAACACTGTGGGGTGCTGCTAAAAATAAATTATAACTTGCCATGATCTTTAAAGGTGGTGGAACTAATACTTGCCACTCTTTTACCCTGCCTGGTATGTTTTTTATGCAATCAGCAAGCCGTGCTTTAATGTTACATCCCAGTTTGTTGGACACTGTTAAATTAGGAAACAAGGTCTCCTTGTGCAAGAATTACAGAGCTTTAGACTAATATTAAAGAGGTTTATATTTTCTAAGAGAAGAAAGGATTTCTATTGTGAATGGTTTAGGACCACTAGAAGGTAGTGACCCAAGTGTTCAGTGCATGGCTTAGCAGCTCTTCAATACTTCATGAATTAAATTTTTGGTGTATTGCCAGTATGCCCTGTGTAGTGACTAAAGATTTATTAGTATTTTTTCTTTGGGTCCTCAGTCTAGTATCAAGGTATTTACAATTGGAATATTATTATCCTCACTACTTAAAACTTATATGTTATTAGGTAAATTGCAGAGTAAACTTTTAATCAAATGGGCCTGTGATTGAATGCAGATGAGTTCAGATGAGTTTGAGGAATGTGGTCAAGAAACCATGGAGAAGTCCAAAATATGGCTATGGTAAAATATTGTTACTTAGAAAGGAGCCTCTCAATCCAGTGTTGATAGTCCAGCACATCTATGAATAATGTCTCAAAATTCAAAACCCAGAAGAGCTGATAAATCATAAATTATGGCTGTGAGGCTTATACAGAAAGTGACCTAATGATATCCTATTACTGTGTGTGTATCAGGATACATCAGAAGCACTTCCCCAGGAAGGGAAGGCTGTGATTCAGCAAGAGCATTAGCACAGCTCGCGCCCAGCGCAGCTGTGTGGGGGCTCTGCTGTGGAGTTCTGCTGCAATGGAAATGGGACAAACTCCAGCTTTATTTTGAGATTTCAGGAGAATTGATGATGCAGAGGCCAGACTGTGTTCTCTGTTCTTGGCCGGGACAAGTTTATTTCCTGCAGCATGTGTGTGTTTATTAGTGTTGAGTGGGTTAGTGATCAACCATGTAGTAACTGTTGGAGGTAATGGGGCAAGTGCATCCCAGCCTGTCCGCCTCGAGCGGGAGGTGCAATACATCAGTCAGGTTGGTCCCCGCTAGCCTCAGTACTGGCCATTTTTACACTAGTTCTCTTGACCATTTTTTCACCCACAGATGAGCAACTGGAAAGATGAAAAGACTTTTTTCTGTTAGATTGCTGTTGATGTTTTTCTTTATTCTCTTTTTAAAGGCTTGTTGTCATACTCGCTTGGAAAATTAAATACTTAAAGTAGTCCCAAGTGTTATTTGCTCAATTGTCCTCCAGACAGTGATGTAATTTAGGTAACATGTCTTGTTATTTCACTTGACATGAAACAGCCTGTAAGCAGTAAAACCAAATGCTGGGGAGGAAAAAAACCACAACCTTCCCTCCCTTCCCCACCAAACCTGAGATCTGTCAACAATTATGGTACCCAAATGGAAATTGAGAGAGAACTAAAGGAAATCTAAAAGGTCACAGCGGCAGGTTTGCAATAGAGCTGTGACAGCTTCCTTGCAAAAAATATTATGAAATATTTCATGACCAGATGTACTCATGACCTTAGATTTTGTGCATCAAATCAAGGCTGGAACTTCACCAAAGGAATGGAAGTGTTCTGATAATAAAGCTATAATCACACTTAGTATTTTTTCAGAAATTAAATGAGACTGAATCCTCAATATTGTTTCCTCTAGCAACCTGATTATTTGTGGGATAATGTATTTTCTTTTACATAACAACATATCATAAGATTATATGATGACTTGATACATTCAGAATCTAAAATGCTTTGTGAGCATGCCAGAGATTTTAAATAAAGGTAAACTTTCTAAAAGAACTCTGTTATTTGATGGAGCATTTTCTTTTGGAGAGACAAAAGTCAATAGAACAGTTTAGTAAGTAAAGAGAGACTGTCAGTTAGAGAAGTACCCTGTGAAAAGAGAGTTCAATCTGTTTCAGTGACAACTGTGTGAAGAGTCTGGCTTCTTTCTGATTTTTATTCTTTCTGTTTTAACCTTGTAGGTTGAAGGGGACCAGTTACCTCCAGGACATACTGTCAGCCAATATGAAACGTGTAAGATCAGGACAATAAAAGCTGGAACTTTGGAGAAACTTGTGGAGAACCTTCTGACAGCTTTTGGGGATAATGATTTTACCTACATCAGTATCTTTCTGTCAACCTACAGGGGCTTTGCTTCTACTAAGGAAGTGCTGGAACTTCTCCTTGACAGGTAAGAGTCAGGAGATAGTGAAAACTGTGCCTTTTTTATTTAATGGAGGAGGGAATTATCAGGAATTTTGGAAAGTGATGTTTCGGCACAAATATAAAGTCAATAACAGCCTTCTGCTCACAGCTCTTATTAAAACATGGTCACCAGACTGGAAAAGCGGGATGCACCTGGCTGCTGAGAAACCAAACTGGGAAATTAATGTAGCTCTTTTCCCCCAAAACCTGGAGTGCATGTGCTGCAATGTCATACCTAGAGGAGATTTCACGTTATCAATATTTTTGTATGTTGCTGGGTACTAGTATTTCCAAGACCTAATTCTTCTGTTTGGAGTCTGCTGATTTGCATAGAGACTGCACGAACCTAAGCAAAATCATTTCCTAGTATTACTTTGCATGAATAGCAAGCAAATTTTTGCTCAATGCTGTAAGAACAGCTTCTCTGGTAAGACTGTTAAACTGCATCTGCTCTATCTGTATAAATGCTTAGAAGACACAACAGCAGCTGAATTTTAACTCAGTCATAGCTAGGTCTTAGGTGATCTTGTTTGAGGAGTATGTTATCTGTTGCATTTTCAAAATCAAATGAGGCACATAAATAGTTGCTCCGGTGTATTATATGTAAAGTAGAAGGCTAACTTTAGAAATCCTAGGGTTTAATTTTGGCTCTCCCGCTAGGTAGATATAGAACAAGGCATGTTTAAGCTGTCTGTGCCTCTCTTTCATATCTGAAAAGGAGTATAATACTCCTTGCCTCATAGGAATGTTATGTGGCTCAATTAATACTGATGGTGAAATGCTTAGCTGCCAGGCCTGCTGTGACTGTAATAACAGCTGTGGTTGCTCAAGCAGAGTAACTGTGAGAACTTCACAGCCAGGTAAGATGTCAAATGAGAAAAAAAGAAGCCGTCCTGGGGAGCAGACTGCACAGTTAGATTTGCTTCTGTGAACATTACCTCTCAGTGTGTGCCAGCTTTGATTGACAGTATCTAGATACAGAGAACCGAAAGTGCTGAGGAAGCATTTTTCTGAATGTGTAAATCTTTCTGAAAGTTTGTTTTTTATTTTTATTGATTCTGTTTTGGAGATATCTATTTCTAGAGAAAATAGGAAGGGTCACCAAGTTGATGTTGATTACAGGAACTTAAAGCCAAGCTGACTCTCAAAGTCAGACAACATTTGTTGAGAAACTTCTGCCCTGTAAGCCTGCAAATTATTGAAGAGTTGCAAATTCACAAAAACAACAGTTGTTTTCATGTACACTGTCCCTTTCAGCTCTTAGTGATCCTGTATGATGCATTTTAATTTTTGTGAAGATAGGTATTTTGCAGAAGGAACTTTAAAATAAAGTTTTGCATAAAAAAAGCAATAATATCTTTTTTTCCAATTATGCTTTTTGCCCAGAATTGGTGTTTTAACTATTATTTCCCTAACAGCATTTTGTTGCTTTGAGTCTGTGGGTTCCCAGATGACTCATTCATGTCTTTTGAGTTCTCCTGTATTAATTGGCTTTACATCTTTCCATAATCAGTGAGAACTTGAGTGGCTCAGATAATCCAAACTGGTAGTCAAAAATGGCTCTAAACCTGATAGTTCTGTACAGACTCATCATTTCAATTAAAGACTCTTCCCTGGCTTGCGAGGAGTAGACTGCTGAGCAGAAATGTAGGGGTGTGCTGAGTCAAAGGGAGGATGAAGGTCTTGCCTTGCAGAGACTTGGAGTTTGACCTGGGTTCTACATGTCTGTATCCAGTGGCTTTTGCTGTCCTCAGGGAATGGACAATTTGTGTCTTGCACTTGGCTAATTCACCTAATTATAAAAGTCGACATGCATCTGATAGGCAAGGCTAGAATCTCTTATCAAATCCATTAACCTGGGTTCATGGCGGAGCATATAGTGGTTTTGGGGAAAAAGAAACCTTGGTCCTAAGAGGCTATATCAGGTCCTTAATGGATGCTCTTTTGTCTGTGCCAAGCTCTGGAAAGGGGGCTCCTGCCTTGGTCTGCTGGCCTGTTTCCTTGTTCCTGCGTGCTCCTGTGCGGGGGACTCTGCTGCAAGTCGGACCCTGGCACGGGCTGGCTGCGCGGAGCCCCGTTCGCCTGGCCTTGACGGGCGCCCCGGGCGCCGCCGCCAAGCAGCCGTGCGCTGCTCCCTGCTGCCTCCGCGCCACCGAGAGGCAAGCCGAGCTCTGCCGCTGGGCTCTGCCTGCTGCTGCTTCTCCAGCTTTGTCCTTTGATAAGGGAGCATCAGTCTACAGAGTTGTCAGTTCCGTGCTCTAATGAATACTGAAATAATTAAATAATCTCCATGCAATTGAGAATTGAAGAATTTTGAACTCGCCATTGGGGCCAGAGGGGTAATTGTTGCTAGGCAGTCCATCCTACAGTCATTTAGCCTACTAACAGCTGTACTGGTTTTGTGTGTTTCATCACTAGCCATTAAAGTGTTGAGACTCAAACGTTCCAGCAGGCTGTGTGAGGATGATGAAAAGGTGTTTTGGGAATCTTGCTTCTTCACTCAAGTTCTGATAAGGGTTCTGCTCCCCTGTTCTTTCCTTTGGAATAAACTATCATAAAAAATTAGAAACCTGCAAGATTAATGGCACGCTGAGGTTATTAAAATCAGATCCTTAAAGGTGGGGAAATTAGGAGGGGGAAAAAAGTCAAGATCATGGTGAAGTTTACACATACTCTACAGTTTCTGCTTGCATATTGCTTTTAAATGTAGGCATTAATGATGGGTTTTTAAAAACAGCCTGAAGAAAGTAATTACTCAGACTCTGAGAACCATTGGTCACGAGACACCTAAACTCTTTAGGCTCCTGCAAAAATCCCAGTTTAATGTAGTAAAGGTAGCTGTAAATGGTATTTGTGATGCCATTTAGCTCAGTTAACTCTCTAATTAAGTTTTTAATATTTTCATATCTAGGAATTAGATCTGTAACGTTATAATTAGATTGCAGCACAAAAGAAGTGGCAAGTCTAATTTCTGAGTCAGATTCAATCTTCCCTAAATTTTCCCAGGCATGCAGGAGAGGAGGAAAACCAGGAGAAAGCACTAACTGCAACAAAATTGAGCAGACAGGACTTGCTTCTTCGTTGCTGTTAAAATGTGTGCAGGTGTTATGGGTTTCGTTTGGGTATTCAGACAGATAATGGGAAAATTGATACCCTCCTCTGAAAAATGAGTTCCTTGTTATTCGCAGCTGTGTAGGTTGGTGATTTGAGGAGAAGGATCCAGGAAAGACGGAGTCTTGTGCATTGCTGTGTGTCCTTGCAGGCTTCTGGGCCGCCTGACCTTGACTCCCTTATTCCCAGCTTTTCCCAATAAATAATAGAGTTCCCAGGAAATCCTCAGGGGCCTCCCCTTCTTCCCTCCCTCCCTCCCCGTATCAGTGTAACATAGGAATCCATGGATGTTTCTCTTGTTCTGCTGGATTTGGGGTATGGGACATTCTGGCTAAGAAAGGTGAGATGCTTTTGGCCGAGTGGCAGAGACAAATGCCAAAGCAGCTGCTGTGCTTAAGAAACGCTGATGTAGTGGGTCAGGAAAGGTGGGGAGGAGGGGAAAGAACCTTTTTACTGTGTGTGAATAATTGAGAATAATGTATTTTTCTTAAATGAGTCTGCATCATGGTAAGGTTTTGTGAGATCTTTGTGAGATCTTCTAACCATTTCCCTAGTCCAGTGGGGCTAAAATAAGCGGTGATGTTGTGCCCTGCAGTGTGTGAGGTTTTAGAGCCATCAGGAGTTCAGGGGAGGCTTTGGAGGCTCTGTTGCAATTCCCATTTCTTCTTGAAGCTGGAGAGGAGTTGGTGGCTTTGTGTCTTACAGGGCTAAGGAGACATGCATGCTACTTGTGCTGTCTTTAATCCTCCTCCCATTGTGTGGGAGAGCAGCAGGCTGTGTCCTCCCAAAGCTAAACACACATGGATTCAGTCGCTTCCCGGCAGGAATCGCACACGTGCGTGTTGCGCTTGCAGTGTTTCCGACTCCCACATCCCGCGCTAGCAGCGTCACCACAGCGACACACGGACCGGCTGTGCAAGGGGAGAGGCCTCTGACAGTGGATTCTGCCCTGCGCTGCGAGGAGTTGCAGAAAGTGTCAAGGAAAAGCTGTAAATTGTTAATATAAATCTTTTTAAAGTACCGTCTCTAATATTTCTTTCTTTAATATACTGAGATTGTGTTACTTGCTGTCAGAGAAACTTTAACATTCTTGGATATTGCAAATCGGCCCAAATTAAGCTTTTGCTCTCTATTAAATCTGAGCCTGAAGCTCTACTTAATATTTTGCTTGTATATAGATTTTCTTTTAGCATAGAGAAATGAACCTAAACATAATCTTAGGTTAAAGTTTAGAAGTCAAAATAAAGGCAGTTTTGGATTTAGGATAGTAAATTTAAAAGTGAGAAGAAGGAAGAAGCTTGTATTTTAAAAGCTATTTAAGGGTAATTGGACGTTCACATCTCCTCAGTATTCATGAAAGTTTTGCATCTAAATGCACTACAGAACTTTGAAAATCTGCCAAGTTGTTAACACTATAAATTCTGATATTTTGTGTGTGTTTAGGAGAAGTTGGTAGGGAAATTGAAGGGGGCGGAAAAAAAAAAGTTATTTCAGCATTTTGATGTGGAAATTTTAGATAGAAGCTCTTGGAATGAGGAAATGGGGCCTGAGAGGCAAAGCTAGGAGGAGGCAAGTACCTCCCACAAAGAAGGGAATGGACACTGTTTGAAGGAGGAGCTGGAGCTGGAAAAGCTGAAACAGCACCAGGACAGCAAGCAAGTTTGTTCTACTTTTTCAGTTCTTTTCTATTGCTGGAGGATTGCTCTATAGAGTGCAAATGAAAAATAAAAGGGAAGGGAGTATTGAAGGAATGGGTTTGAGTGGGAAGTAGGAAGGGTAGGAAAGGATACGCAGCTCTCCAAAAGCTGGGAGAGTCTGATAATGTCTGTGCTGTTTTACGTAAGGCAGGAGGTGGGAAGAACAGTCAAATCTGAAGAAGAACGAGCAAAAATCTCCCTTCACCGAAGCTTTTACTGGGTCTGGAGCCTGTGGCTTCTTTCCACAGATAGCTCTCAGTGAACGCACAGTGAAAATCCGGGTAAGGAAATCTGCTGCATCCAGCTTTTTCTAGGGTGTATGTGCTGTTTTTCCTGCCCCATTTGCATGAGGAACGGTCCAAGCAGCTCTCCGTTCCATCCATTCCCCCAGGCTGATGGTCTCTGGCCATTTCTAGAGCTTCTTCTCTGAGCAGGAATATTCAGCTCATGCCCTTTGGTTTTGAAGGAGGTTCTTAAAGTGGGTCCTTCAGCTGGAGAGCCACAGGTTTTAGGACCATAACTTGGTATGGCATCTTTCCCACTTCTGTTGCTGTAGCATCTCTTCATTCCTCTCTTGCTTTCCTATACACCAGCTAATTTATCGTCTTGGCCTCAGTTGTGATTTTATTTCAGTGATGCTGTGTGGTTATAATTCAAAGCACGATATGATTCTTACAGGTTATATGTACTTTCCATTATTTACTGCTTGTTTTGACACTTGTAGGCTGCCAAACCCTAAATAAGGGTTTTGTTTGGGAATTCATCAGGGAACCACCTTTCCTTCTTATTTCCTACTAATTTACAGGGCACTTGCTTTGCTCTTCTTCCCTTCCCTTTGCAGAAATGCAGGGTGGCATTTTCAGTTTTTCGGTATTTAAATATTCAGGACTGGCCATTACAGTCTGCTCTCATTTGCTTAGTGAGCTCCTTTGATTGGAGCCTGTAACTTCCCAAACGCCGAGCGAGGCTAAAAAGGTCTGTGGGCTCCGGGATCCTTTTGTTTCGCATGTGCCTCTTTGTCCGCAGCGCGTTCTGGCCTGCACGGAGTGAAAGCCTCTTTGTCCGGCCCTGGGCCGGTATGCAGTGTGCAGTAATGCTCCTCTTCGCATCACATGTGTCATTAACTCCTCCTAACCCGCCTTTAATGCCCCGTTGTTCATGCAAAGCTGGCTCAGGGAGAGAGAGGCCGAGGTTTGGCAATACCAGGAAGTCTTGCATGCTCCTCAGCTTTGGTACAGAAAATTGCCTGCTTTTTATTACTGTTTTATTGATTTATATTGCGAAAATCAGCATGTGCATCTCTGGTGGGATTTAGATGCAAATGCTTAACATTCTGCAAATACCTCTTTGCTCTTTCACAGAGTACTGGCAGAGTTATATCATGAGTCATCTCAATAAATCTTCCTGTAAGAGCTAATGGCAAGTTATGAGAGAGGAATATAAAAATCTCACTGTTATTCAAAGATGGAAGCTTTCCTTGACTGTCTCTCTTAGCAGGGGGAAAAATGTCCTTTTTGTTGGTTAAAAAGTGTTTTGGTTGGGTTACCTGGCAAATGGCCGCAGGGAGTGAAGCGCTCTCCCTTGAGCCAGGGGAGAGGAGCAACCCTCTGTTCACGTGTGCTATGTACGTCTTGGTCAAGGACAAGATATAGGCCTGCTAAAAGCAAGTACAACTGTTGAAAGAAATAGATTTTAAAATCAATGGAAACAGGTTGAACTGTACCCCTCAGCTGAGCAAGGTGGAACTCTCTGGGCTGTGCGGCAGTAGGCCTTTCTTAAGCCTCCCCCAGTTTAAAAAGTATTTGACAGTATGGCTGAGCTAATAGAGGCTAGAGACGGCAAGTGCTGGATTTGGGCAAGCAGAGGGTTGGAAAGCAAGTATTCCTTCATTTTGCAGCTTCAGGAGCACTGATCTCAGTGAAAGGAGAATGGGTAGGGTGTGAAACTGCTTGGGAGAATATAGGAGAAAGCACAAGTGCCACTGCGGCACCAGAAAAATTCAGAGCAAGATTGACAGGTGTTCTTGCACCAAGTAACAATTTACTCTGTGAATGTTACGCCGAGTAAGGTGTTATCCACTGTGCCTAGAATTAATTTTTACCTCACTGTCATTTAAAGTAGACTTTTTTATTTTTATGTCTGGATTAGCTCTGTGAAATCAGTTATCTTGTTTGTATCTCAATATTTAAAGAGACTTTCAATTTTAAGAACCCCTTAAATTCTGTTCTTATACTTCTGTAGTCCTGTAGTTCCAGTAGAAAAGCAGTATCATTTTGGTCTAGCTGAGAAAAATTTAATCCATTAAAAACATAAGAGACTGCAGGATTTCATCCATGCCTTCTCCCCCACCTCCCCTCCAGACTAATTAAATAAAATGCTGACATTCTGGAAATCTTCACCACTGACCCAGGAACTCTCACCTAGTTGCGGCAGTGCATTGGACAGGCTGAGCTGCTGTGATTTTGTTCTCAGCTTTGGGGACAAACTTGTAGTAACAATTTATCATTTTTGTTGTGTCTCTGTGCAATGTAGAGGTGCCAGACTGAGTTTTCAGTGAGCTGTCTCAGATAATTTAAATGGATTTACCATAGTATTTTCAAGGTTAAACAAGCCCAAACTGACTTCTTACAACTGTGGCTGCGTTGCTTCTGTTGGGCGGATTACCAGTTTAGTTTGGATTTTCTTTGTATATGTGGCCAACTTGCAAGAGAGAACGAGATTGAATTCAATTGCATTAGTTACTTTTCTTTACACATGTGTGATATAAAGCTGTAGGCTGATACCTTAGAGGAGCTTAAAACTGCCATGGCTTTCTTCTGTCCTCTGAAATACTTCAGATGAATTTGTTACGGCTCTGCTATGACCCTTCTGTGGACAAGCCAGCAGCCCATGATATTTTCTTTATCTTATCCTGCTCGAACATATCACAAACACTTGAAGACTTGTGCATGCACTTGCCATGTTCACTCTGTTCCAATTAACTGCAGGTGCCTGACAAGCGAAATTATTCAAGCACACAGAAATGTGTAAAATCAGCTTGCCTTATTCTGGACTGGGAGTAGCTGTCCTCCTTCGTTAAAGCTGGCTGTAACGAACCATTAAAATCTTTATGGAGCTGTGTGTGAAACAATGAGCGCCCCGTTTGAAAGCGAGTGCCTAATCCTGCCTCCAAGGCACAAGCGCTGCATGCAGAGGTAACAGTCTCCCCTCTGGGGCTGGAGCTGTGCTTGTGATTGCCTCTTTCCCAATGGTATTTTTGCCCTGCTGTGGATCACTAACATCAACTGTGTCAGTAGTGTGGGCAAAAGTGGCCCTTTGCCACCAAGGTGGCTTTGTTTGAGGTAACACCTGGAGCTGGGAGGAATGGCAGACACTAGCAAAGTGAACTGAGGAGGAGAAAGGGGTTTGTTCAGCCTCACTGCATGCTGGAAAATCGCTCTGTGGAAGCATGGGGTGAAAACTGGCAGCGTCCTGGAGCTGTGAGCAAAGAAACTCTGCTGCTTCCTCTTAGGTGCAGGTGAAGAGGACTTTGTATTTCATATATGCAAACAGGCTAGGTTTGAAGATGCTGCCTCTCTCTTTAGCATTTTTTTCCTTCTAAATGAAGAAATATTCAAGTGCCTTGCCCAGCTGTGAGATCGCACATTTCGAGTTTGCACTAAAACCACTCTTTAACTGTTTGGAATAATTGTATAAAACTTATTTGGCCTTTCTTATTCAGTAGATGTTGCTCTAAACATGCATCTCATTCTTTAGGTATGGAAACCTGGAGACCTCAAGCTGTGAAGATGATGGGAACCAGAATTCCTCCGGGTCCAAAACAGTACTCAGGAAGTAAGTGTGGCTTTTTGCCCTGCAGCGAGCCCCAGTCAGAGCCATTGCTATAGGAGGATGTGAGGAGAGCAGCTGTTGTTTCCCTTGGAAAATACATGGTGCTCTTTGCTTGCTGTTCAAAAGGCCCAGTATCAACAGTCTGTAACACATCTGTAATACAGCCCTGAATCCTTCCATCAGGGAGATCGTCACAGAGGTGAATGTGATGAACTCCGCTAGGCCAGGGTTGTGTTGGTTAAACATGCAAAGGGTGTTTGTTTTCCTTGCCTAACTTATCTACAGCAGTAAATGGTTATTGCTTTTGACTGATTTTATTACAGCAGTGTCTGCAGACCAAAGCTAAGGTTGTGTTAGGTGTTGTGCCTATACAAGTGTCTACTTGGTCTCACGTGATTTACAGTAGTGCTTTTAAAGTGAGGCTTAAATTTTGATGTTATCCTGTGTTACAAGAAAATTGCAAAACTGTCTTAAAATGTTGCTTAAATGAAAAGGTGGCTTAATTATTAGTAATCTGCATTGTTAGTATCACATTGCATTTTATTTTCATACACTGAATGTAAAGGGAAAGCTAGGTCATCATTTGTTCCTTGACATCTGTATCATCTGTGGCTTGCATGTACTGTGGCAATAAAAAGTAGCTGAGTGATTATATTTGATTACAGTACATGGAGGCGCCTGATTCTTGTCAGCACTGCTCAGGATTGTGGGTTTTCCTATAATTCTGTCATAGCTTCTATTGGATGAGAAAACCTTAAATAAAATCTCTTATACTGATTTGACAGAGGCATGGTGGAAGAGGAAGCCTTAAAACTTAGCTTCCATTTGTTTAAAATAGGGGAAAAAAAAAAGAAGAAAGAAACAAAACAAAACCCACCTTTTTTAATTCCATCACAGGAAGTGCACAGACCAACAGGAAATAGGAGAAAACTGCTGCAGCATATGTCTCATTCCTAGGATTTAGATTAATGTGACAAGAGCACTGCATGTTTACTCAAATCATATTTTGTTTTACAATACTGGGATCTGTCCTTCACATTACTTGCTTCTGTGATGACCTGTGTGCTGGCTTAGGGGGATCTGAGTCTGTCTTAGAATGATTCCAATATTCCTGGTCTAGAAATGTGCCATTAATGTGTCAAGCATCTTCCTGCCCTGCACTGGGTGAAGTGAACGGTTAGACCGTGGGGTTGCATTGCCTCATGTCGTCCTTCTGAAACCGTTTTGCTTAACCACCACAGATAAACTAGTAAAGGCTCCCTTTTCACGGGGATTCAGCTTTCTGTGAAGACAGAAACAACTATGTTTGCTTGATTGTAGAAAAAAAACTAGAGCTTTAGGTCTGTAAGTGTTATGGTATTCTCAAAAAAGTGCTGTATGTAACAAAATGTTATCCCTTGCTAGGTAAGGAGAAAAAAAAAAAAAAAAAGACAAGCTAGGAACTCTAGTGGTTTGGGATGCTACTGTTCTTGCCACTTGAGATTCCACCGGAGCTCAACTCCTTCATTCTTTACTGGGTGACATAATGTGCATTTTCCTCTCATTTTGTCACTGAGGGCTCATTGAAGAACAGAGGATAATTTAAACTTGCTCACAAGCTTTAAGATGATGATCTTATGTAGTGGGTTGACACAACAGGGAGCTAGTAGCATCCTAGGCTCCCATCCATAATGGGCAACTCTTTGGCAGCCATTTAACCTCCCCTTAATTAAAAGCACATTAGTTTTTAAAGCAGAGTTGTATTTGTACTAGCGTACACAGTTTAAAATAGAGTTGCTTTCTGCTGCCTCCACACTGCCTTCCCTCCCAGCATCTCCCTGGCTTGTAAGTCCTTTGCAGAGGCAGTGATTGACAGACTGACAGAGTTTGTGTTCCTGAGCAGCCCAACCTGTGGTGAGTCTGGCTAATGCAGAACTAGCATGAAGGTGTTGAGCACAGTGACATTGATCCTTTGGCGCTCATGGAACGATACCTTTTACATGTGGACTTGAAACCAACTACTTGTAGGAAGTTTGATAATGAAGTAGACAGTAATGAGTGTCATCTACATGTGTTTTAACCGATTTGGTACAAATGTAAATTTACTTTCCTGCCTTAAAAATTTCCATTACCTCTCAGTTGCTCTTGCTACTTGTCTCTTAGATGTGATTAATGGACCCTGGCAAAGAGGTTGGCTTTGTAAGCCAGTGGTGAAACATGTAGTTCTAGTAGTTCAGGTTTTCTCTTGTCTGGGGATAATTCCAGCATAATTGCATTTACCCTCTTCTTTCATAGAATAGCATTGCGATGTTGTGCTCCACTTTATACGACTTGGAGAAGTAAGAGGAAGTAGGACCACAGCCATGATATTTCTTGCCTTTAACTCTGTATTTCTCGGAGATAGACTACCCCACTGGGAGTCGCAAAGTTGGAGAGCAGTAATATTCTGCATTAATTTTATCAGGTTCATGTTGTGACGATTTTGGTGTTTAAAATTCCACTTGGGATGTTAGAAATTGCCATGAAATTGAAGGCATTTCCACTGGTTTTATTAAAAAAACATGCTACGGAAATGTTAGAAAGTTTAGAATTAACTTCAGGAGAAAAAAATATGGCTTTTTAAAGATCTTATGGAACTTTTCTGCAAAATATTTGTGTTAGAGGAATATTATGGCCTATGCACTGCCCAGTAGTTCCACTAGTTAGTTCTTTTGACGCTGCAGGTCTCTGGTTTTTATGCTTGTGGCATGGAGGTGGAGTGCGTTTTGAGAGGGAAAATGTCAGGTGCATGTAAACTTCTAACATTGTTTTTTATTCCACCGCACGTTCACACAGCTCCCAGCTTGGCATTCACATTGGTGGGCTTGAGCGTGCTCGTCCTGAAGTTTTGCTTGAGAGCCCGGGAGAGCTATAAACCTCTCCTTGCGTTTAAGTCAGCAGCTGCTTCTTTCACTTGTGGTAGTGGTACTAACCTGAGATGATTTCTGCCACATTCGGGAACAAGGGCCCTTTCTGCCAAGGGGATTTTCAACTCTTGCCTTAAGTGTCATTCTTGTCCGTTTGGACCACTGGAGGGGTCAAAAAATTGGGGGTTTTGACTTATAACACATAGCATCTTTCAGGCTTTTTATTATTGTAATTTTTTTAAAGCTCAGTAATCCAGGTTCCCTAATCTTGGAACTTCAAAAACACATGCACATCATGGACCTTAGAGTTATGAGTAAGCTCTCAACAGCATTACATATTTTGTCAGCTTAAAAAAGTGACATGGATTACTTTTTTTTTTTTTTTTTTTTTGAAGCCCAGAAAAGGTCAGGTTTGCTGGTCAGATGTCTGAGTTTCATGGACTTTATCCTGTGTTCCCAGAAATCTGGTGTCTCTCAACTGCCTGATAAGAGACTTGTAAGAAGGGACTTGTTTGACCCTTGTTTTAAGTGATTCTTTTCACTCTTCTTCCTTGCATCATATAAACAGATTCACAGTTCTGACTGTGCTTGTGTCGAGGTGTGACCTACCTCCCTCCTCCTCCTAGTGATACAGTCCTGGTCTTTGGACTTCTTTATGTTCATTAGGTGTCTTTTACTCGGGAGATCTGTTGACTTTTAGAAGACAAATAACATACACCACAATAAAACACGTGGCAGTCCAAAATAGAACCACACTTTGTGCAATCGTAAATGAAAACTAGCAGCATGATGAGTAGCTTAAAGAGAAACTTACTAGTTAAGGATGGATCTGTATGATCATACATGTTTTAGAGAATGTAGAGATACTTGTACTGTAGTTTTGCTGTTTTTTTGTGCATTTTTCTTGTGGATATTTTGGGAGGGCTGAGGGAGAGGTTGTAGAGTTTGAATGAGTGCTTTGATACAGATCACCCAATAAAAAGCAATGAAATGAAAAGTAGAGCAAGAAGAAATAAAGTACTTTTCCAGCTCATGTCTGATGCACAGACTCTCCACACCTCTTGGGCAGTAGTCATGGGAAACTGGAATGAGATAGTAGTGAAAAAAGATTTTTAAGCCCCGACATATTCTGGGAAGGGGATCAGCCAGCCAGGTACCTATTGCTGTTTTGGGGTTTTGGGTCATACTGAAACTGTATTGCATTTAAAATAGAAACAGCGCTTTTAGGAATGCGACACAGAATCACAGAATGCTTAAGGTTGGAAGGGACCTCTAGAGATCATCTCTCAGTTACCTTTTAACTCTCTGTCAAAAGGTTGAGTTTTCTCTGCCAAATGATCTGTGATACATTTTGTGCCCCGTTTCGCCCCTGCTCCTTTAAGGTGGTTTAAAGTTTGCCTTTTGGCCAGGTCCAACGCTGGCGGCAGCTGTAGCAACGCACAGGCTCGTGCATTCAAGGTACTGAAGGACCTCAATGCTTCCTTCCCATCAGATAAGCACTCAAGGCCTGCCTGGAGCTCACTGAGGACAGAGGGAACTGTGAAGCATTTGAGCATTTGAAGGACAAAACATTGTCTCTGCTTAACTGATATGGGGAAGCCTCTGGTTAGTTGTGAGAGTCAAGGCAAGTGCTGAGGCCACGTGCCCGTGGTGCCATTTAGGCTGCGAGCCCAGGGTTAGTGAGGCAGCACATCCTGCGCGTGTTGCCAGGAGATTTAAAGATTTCTGCACATGAAGTTCCCAGGAGAGGGGATTCAGCCGTGTGCCGCAACGCGGGAATGGGTGCTCTGGCAGTGCGTGCAGTCAGGGAAGGCTGCTCTAATGGGAACGGAGTCTGAGCTGTGCAGCAAACAGAATGAACTGTGTTTTGATACTTTTTTTTTTGGGTCTTGCTTTTTGTGAAACGAAAGAATGCTTAAGAGCTTTTATAAATCCCAGTTAAGGCTACATTTCTCCAGGATACTAAAGAAAAAAGGGTAGAGCTCGAAAATGGTATGCTGGCTGTAGTGGGAATTTTCAAATGGGGTTTTAAATATCTTTATTTAACTCTCCCTCCCTCCACCTTGCTGATTCGTACACTCACATCCCCCAGTGCTGTAAAAGGAGGATTCCTATGGGAGTCCACTCTGCTGACTGGGAAACAGAAATGGCTTATGTAGAGCAAATGCCCTAGCTCTCTTCTTCCACAGTCCCAAGCACCAACATGGCAGAGGCCTGAGCTTTAAATCCCAAATACACTAGAGCAGCAGTTGAAAGTGCTTTCAGGCCTCCTCTCGGCATATAAGGCTGTGGTTTTCTGCTACTGGCTTCAGTTTGCAGCCTTGGAGTGAATTCAGCTGACTGACAGGTCCCAGAAATGAAGCAGGCGGCTTGGGGTTTTTGTTGCCTTGACTGTTGGGCCCTCGCTGCATCTGCTTTATTATCAAAATTTGGATTTGTTTGTTGTTGAAACTTGGTCTGTGGCACATGATGGGAAACTGCAGGCAAAGCAAGTCCACATGGAACAGCAATCTACCTGCTTTGGTCCACAGCACTGGTGTAAAACTGCTCAGACACAGAGGAATTAAAGAACTGGGCTACCCCATGGCATGTTTTGTCAGCTTACTCCTCCTCGTCTGCATTAAAAATACAAACAAAGCACTGAAGCCCTCACTGTAATACTGCAGGAGCTGGAGTTTGCTGTGGTGTCAAACATTGTCCCAGACATTCTGTGCAGTGAGACCTTCTTGGGGAAGCTGCCGTGTGTCTCCTGGGTGCAATAACGTTCCTGGCAGGTAGCAGTGTGTGCAGTTACAATACGTAATAGTATTAGGTGGAACCGTTGTGCTCCACCAGAACAGACACCAAAGGAATGTGAGACAAACCAAACAGAGGAGCTGGGGGTTCTGGAGCCTGGGAAGGCCATGGCGGGAAGCATTTAAGGTTCATTTGGGAAAGCAGCAATCGCCGTTCATTCCAGTGAAGCCAGTTAAGCTAAAACAACAGCAGAGAGCGGGTGGGTTATGTTAGAAGCTGCGTTGAACATGGGGCAGTATAAAGCAACGCAAGAGGGGGAAAGTTAAGAAAACTATGATCAAGCAAAAAGAATGATTGGAAGAGCAAAGAAGAATAATGATCGGCGTCTCCGCTAATGCAATACAAGCCAGCAGAGCTGTTCCTCGAGCAACTTCATGTGTTCTGCAGAAAGACGTCCCCACCCCCATGTCCTGCAGTCTTTCCTAAACCGAGACAGGAGCAGAACATGTGCTGCAAATCACCGTGGTGTCATTTAAAAATGGGCTGGATGTCAAGAGCTACTGTTAGCTCACTTGCAGTTTGTGTGTCTGTTACCCTGATTTAAAGCTAAGGTTCAGGTTTGAAGAACACAGGCAGCAAAGCTCTGCATGTTATGTAGCAAACAAAAACTGGGAAAATCCAGCTGCTTTCATGTAGTTTGTGTGGGCAAGACTGAAAGCCATTGCATGGAAAGTGAAGGAGAGGAAATAGCCTTCCGTAGAGGTGATCCCAGTGATGGTCTTAGCATTGGTTTGGGGAAGCTCAGAGAGGTATGTCTATGCCCCTATCCCTAATTATGTAAGAAATCAGATGTTTATTCTCTTGCAAGCCTCACATCTCCTAAGGTTTTTCTCCTTAGTCATTGACATTCCCATGTACTCATTCTTTGGAAATAGTTGTGGCAGGAAAGCAAACACTGATTTTTGCCTTTTTGGCAAGAAGCAATCTCTTCAGGACCAGGACTATAGCTGTGTTCCCAGTTAGGAGGGCTAGGCCGAGTTTCAGGATAGCCGGTTGCCTGGCTCCTAGCTGTGGGATATAAGTTTTCCATTTCCCCCATGCCCACCAGCTCAGCTCAGGAGGCGCTTGGAGCTGCCCTAGTGTCCCTGCCTTCCCAGCAGCTTGCGGACCAGAGTGCGGGGATGAGCCGGTTTTGTTTACCCATCTGGAAGCCGCAGAACCAGGCATGCTTCTTGCCCTTATCCTGGCGAGAAGATTTTAAGGCCTGACACATCCGGAAATGGGCTCTGAGTAAATTCTGCTTTAAAAAAAAAAGGGGGGGGGGGCAAAAGAATTTCTAGTAGCTGCAGAACTTGTGAGCCTGAGCTTGAACAGAGCCCAGAATTTATTTGCAGTTGTCAGGCCAGTGATATTGAAAAGTGTTTTCTTACAGCCTCCAAACATGTAAAAATTTATAGCTCATCCTTAGCCCATGAAATGTGGATGTGTCTTTTCTGTCTGGGCTCTTAGAAGGCTGCTGTCCGTATCGGCCACTGGGTCTATCAAGTACAGGCAGTTTCTTCTCAAGGGCACCCGACGTAAAACTGCTGTAAGATACAGGCTCTTCTGCAGGCCCTTTTCAGGCAGCTTCCTTTCCTCATGTGCCCACGTCAGGCACTGGGAGGGCAGCAGGCTGCAGCACTTGTACCTATTCCCTTTCCTTTATTCTCTCTTGACTGCAATTATTTTGCTGGCAAAATCAGTGTCTAACTTCTGTGAACTTTTCACCTTGTTCGGGAAGGCTCGGGCTGTGTTAAACTGTTTATTCTTTAGTTTATGAAAGTGGCCATCAACCAAGGCATATGTGAATAACATCCAAACACAAAAGCATCCCAAGGAGCAGCTCCTTTTTTGAAGTCGTTGCTGAAGGGATAACTACTTCTAAGAATACCTAGCCTCCTTCTTTTGCCTGATATTTAACAATTTATTGTTTATCTTTTCGTAGTTTTTGGTTTATTTTGGGTGCTCCTGAGCTGACTCACTGTTACTGTAGTTTCCCCCACGTAGAGCAAATGTGGCAGGCCCCACTTGCAGCTTTGCTCTAAAGCGTTACTTGGTTGTTCCTGTTTGTCCTTGAATGGTGTGATTTGACTGCCCCTCTTTGCCTTCAGGCTAAAACTGAAAAAGTAGCCCTTGAAATCTAATTTCTGCTCGTATATTTTTACATTATGCATTTTATCATAAGCAAAATCACAAAACCGGGCAGTGGGGATTGATGAGAGGAAGGGCACCGAAGGAAGTGTTTGATTTAGCACTTCCACTGGGCAGCTGCTGCCGGAGGAGCCCTAGAGGAGCCATGGAAACCTTCTTTCTTCTCCTCTATTTTTCTGCAGCATCCCAGGGAAAGGTGGCTGTGCAAACCCTGCAGCTTCTCTGGTGCACAGCTTTTCTTGATGGCATGGGGGTGAATCAGCCCTAGAGTTACACTGGAATTGTGTTGTGCTTCTGATGGTGTGCACATCATCTGGTAGGTACTTAAATGTGGTAACAATACAGCTAAATCTTCTACAACCAGAGTATCGTCTTTGTGTTTGATTTCAGTGCGATAGCATCAATCTTAAGGGCCTGGCTTGACCAGTGTTCTGAGGACTTTAACGAGCCACCCAACTACCCATGTTTGCTGAAATTGCTGGATTATCTGAAGAGAAGTATGCCTGGCTCTGACCCGGAGAGGAGAGCGCAGAACCTCTTGGAGCAGTTCCAGAAGCAAGAAGTGGAAAATGACAGTAAGCTCCCTTTTGCAGCTTCCTCCTTCCTTTTTGTTCTCCCAGCCTGTATGCTATCCCAGGAGTTTGTTTCATTAACTCTCCTGTTGACTGACAGTATCTTGATGCTGCTAATATACTCAGGTTTACCAGAGACTTGGGAATGAGCCTGCAGGTTGTGTGTGGGGAGGGGTCACAGGTTGTAGGCTCCTTTGCCTGTTCCTTCAAGGGAAACTTGGGAGCTCTTGCACTTTGGATATTGAGCCAAAGCATTGGGATTGCTGCAGCAGCTAAATACTTAATTGTCACAGATTTCCCGTATCACTGAATTAAAACTCAAGGCTGCTCTTCACTTGGCTTTTAAAAACAAACAAACAAGAAAAAACCCCAAACCCCAAATAAAAAGTTCATCTTACTGGGCTGTGACAAAATACGGCCCGAGTTGCAAGCTCTGTTGTCATGAAGCTTTTCTTCCTAGTTACCATCATGTCAAAGGAAGTGCCTGTGGCTGTTTTTTCCTATTTGAGTGGCTGCTTGCTAGTATCCAAGGGCAGAGGAAAAACTTACGTTATTGGGGGTCACAATCCACTGAAACAATAGTGAACTGTAGTAACACAAATATGCTGTGTGCAGCGTCAAGCGTGACACATCGCCCTTACCCTGCTTAGAAAGTTTCCTGTGGCCTAAGCTGAAAAGCTGCTGGAGCTCACGCAGTGGCTGAGGGAGAACTAGAATCAACTTCCAGCTTTGGCAGAGGGCAAGGGGAAATAATTCATAAAGGACAAAGGAAATGACAGAAAAGAAACATTTCATTCTGTAAGATCCTACCTGCCGGATGTTCCAGAAATACCATGCCAATGCATAATGTGGAGAAGGGCCAAAGTAATTCAGTCATTAGCACATGTGTAAAAGGGAGTAATGTGCAGAGCCCTAATGCTTTCCTCACTGAACACAGGTAAGTGAACAGGGTTGTTAATATGTGCTCTTCATATTCTTCCCTGGACTTGGTTCTCACAGGGCAAAGAAAGACAGGTCAGGAGGGACTAAATTTAAATCCAAGTGTTGTTCAAAGTGAGCAGAAGTTCCCAGCAGCTCTGCTTCTCCGTTTGTTTCCTGAAGGAACAGGGGAAATGATTCCTTTCTGAGTTACAGGTCATTTGAATTGTAACATTTTCCAAACTGTGGCAGAGTAGAGGTTCATATTTAATTAAAATATGAAGAGGAGAACACAATAATCATGAAGGGCCTAGAGAGAAGAGCTTTAGGCCTGTCATTTATTTTTCTCATATCTATGCTGTTTCAGAGATTTCATTGAAAGCTCCGGTGTTGTCTACAAGTGAATTGTTCTTCTACAGCATTTATATTGCGCTGTAAATTTGCAAATTCCGGTGCTAATTCTCTGGTCTGATTTGTGTAGTGAGCCCTCCATACAATGCTGCCATTTTCCAGGCAGCAGATTAGATTGCGGTATCAGGTACAGAGATAAGACACCTTCCCTTCCTCAGAGAGGTGCAGGCCGGGACAAGCTGCAATTCAAAGGGGCCTGTGGCTGCGATCAGTCAAGTCAGGAGGGCATTGGGGCTTTTGGAGAGCTCAGAGGAGCAGAGTTATTTGCAGAGGATGAGGTACTCTCCATATAAAAGAATTCCAGCTTTTTGGGTAGAGCAAACTGGTTAGACTTTACGAAGATGGGAGAGAAGGGAGAAAAAGAGGCATGGAAAAGGGAAAAGCTTGCATAATGCTCAAGGAGCTGATTTAGAGGGAACTGTGAGTTCTTAAGTAGGGTTGCAGCTCTGTGATGAGGATTTTGAGGTGAATTTAATGAACTGAAAGGAGAATGAGGGGTTATATAGCCAGAAAGAGAGAGTTTAAAGTCCATTTAAGTACAGTTATTATAAGTAAGTCACAGAAAATAAAGTTGGAGTGGAGGTTTTCATTTATCTTATTTAGCTCTGTCAATAAATTGTGCAATTGGAATGTCCAGATGGAAACCTAGATACAGCCAATAGCTATAATGTTACATCAAAACTGTAGCAGTTTACGTTAATAACTAGGTTTTGCAAATTACTGAAGAAAAACAAGTATTTCGAAAAATGATGATGAAGTATCACATTATCTACTCTTGTAACTTTAATGTTTGTTCTGCTTTAATTGGATGTGAAGTATTTCACAACATAGTCTGAAATGTTGTGCTTGTTTTTATTAATGCAGTCTTACTAGTAATAAATCCAGTACTTTTGCTGTAACTCTTCAACAAGTAGGAAAAAAAACCTATATTTCTTTTTTCATTCTTTTGGTCTTCCTGCAATAAAATGGATTGAGAAGCAAACTTACTTTCAGGGATTTTCTGCTTAAATTCCTCCTTTACCATGGAAAGTAAGACCATATTTCTTTGTCTTTCAATGTGGCTTTGTTCCAAACCTTTGGGAACCCAAAGATGGCATAGAGCATCTGTGAAATCCCTTCTCTTGGGCACTCGATCTGCTCCCTCAGTAGAGAGAGCTCTCCTCCCTCACCTCACGACTGCGGCTCATGGCAAGTTTAGAAGCATTCAGCTGAACACTTCACACACTCACTGTATTCTGTTTTCTGGGAAGACTTCCCAGAGGAGGAGGGTGAGCAGTATTGGAATGTCCTCACTTCACTATAGTTCTTGCAGCCCTGTGAAGGTGAGAATGATGCCAAGAGAATCTAGCATTTCCTTTCCACGCAGGAGAGAAAATTGTAATGTAAGAGTATCCTTTATGCAATATTTTTGAATATAACTACGATATAGTCCCTTTGCAAGTTGTCTTTTTTTTTCAGATTACAAAATATACAAATACTAGAAGTAGATCAGCAAAGTTGTAATGCTGATAGGAAATATTTGTCCTTGGGGAAAAAAAAAAGGTGTTCTTTCGGAAGAGTTAATGTCAATGCAGGGGTTGAGCCACTCTTCAGCTGGGAGACCCTGATTATACTTTTTCTTCCACCTTTTGTATCACTAGAGTATTTTTCTTCTCATAATTTTTCCCACTAAAATCTGTAGCACCCTGGAGCCATTACATCAGATAAGACCTTTTGAGGGCTCTGCTAGAATACATATACTATAACTTTAAAGAAAAAAGAAATCCTTTGAATCACTGTACTAAGTTGTGTTTTCTGTCCTGCACAGATGGGTTCCATAGCACTTCCCCATGTAATCTAGATGATGAAGAGGAAATGGAGATTAGTGGTCCTGAAGAATTCTCTTTTTTCCAAGAAGATCTTGTGGCAGAGCAGTTGACATACATGGATGCAGTATGTAGAGCATATGTATTATTTGAAATGATAGGGGTAACAGTGGTGGGCTTCTAAAATCTTTTTAAAAGATTTTTTAAAATCTCTAAGAATAGTGTTCTAAAACAGGCGTGTTCTTGGGCTGCAGAGCACAGCTCTGCTTGGTTAGTCACATCTACTTCATTCGTTGGACTGTTTCCTTCAGGTGTTTTGAAGTCTCATCTATACTGTATAGACTCTTTTACGAAGGTCAAGTTTGACACCCGAGAAATATCCCTCTTTGATTGTGTCATTACCTGGCTTAAGGTTGCAGATGTGCTGTCATTGTTGTTCTCTGATTTGGCTTGTATGAATCAGTCTCTTTCAAAATGCCGTTATATAAAAATGAAAAATTTTCCTGTTGATTTTCTCTTGGTTTGATACCAGGTGTCTCTTATTTTCCAGAGCTATTTAGCTGACAGTTCTTTTCTGCCATCAAACTTGTAAAGAATATACTAAAATATATTTTAATCTGAGAGAAAATAAATATTTATCTTTTAATACCATCCTGGACTAGATCCATTGGACTGTAGATGGTAAATGTGCATTTTTGTTATGGAGACTAGAGAAGAGTCTTGCTGACTGACTTATATCTCTGTTTCACTCTAGAAGCTCTTTAAGAAAGTTGTGCCCCACCACTGTCTGGGATGTATCTGGTCTCGAAGAGATAAGAAAGAGAACAAGCACCTGGCGCCTACCATCAGAGCCACCATCTCTCAGTTCAATGCAGTTACCAAATGTGTTGTCAGCACTATCCTGAAGAGCAAGGAACTCAAAACACAGCAGAGAGCCAAGATCATTGAGAAGTGGATTCATATTGCACATGTAAAGCATTTATTCTTGACTATTTAACATTCTTTGTGCAAGGGCCTCTGAGTGACGGAGCTGGTGGGAGGGAAGAAGGGGGTTGTATGCTTTGGTCCCTGCCATCTTAGTTATTTTTCTTGGCACTAACTTTCTTGGTAGTGTCAGGTAAGGCACTGCCTTTCCTCTCCCTAGTTCCGCACTGTGGAAATGGGGTTGATGCTTCTTTTTCACAGGGTTGGGAACACTGATTGATGGGGGAGATGCTCTGCCTTGCGCAGTACTTGGTAATGTAACATTTGTGGTAAGAAAGGTATAAATTCAACCAGTCCAATTCCCCGAGAAGAAAATACTGCTTATCACAGTGAAGGCAGTGAAGGTAGTGCTGCTGTGTCACCCTAAGGCTGGTTTTGATTTCAGGTGAGGGACTAACAGCAGCGGAGCAGAACTGGCACTTGTGTCGGCAGAGTGACACTGGCAGCTTTGCGCTTGCCTTCCCTTGGGTGTTACTGTTCAGTCTGTGACTGTCGTACTCCTCCTGTATCTATGGACTCCAAAAGACTGGGAGTCAGGTGGAGTGGAAGATACAGTGCAAACCACTTGTGTTTATATGAATATGAAGGTAAAATAAACAGTGAGGCTTAGGCAAGTGATTACAAAGCTCATTTACTTCTAAGAAGTGTTGTAGCCTTTCTAACATGGAAAAATGAAATTATTGTTCATAGTCTGTTGTTTTGAAATAATTCTTGAAGCTCAAGGGTTTGTTTACTTAATTATATACTGTTTACATTAAGTATACAAACTAGCTGATATTATAGCAACAAACAAAAAGGTCACAGAATTACAATATGTTACCTGGCTCACAATTCATGGCTGTTGTTTGACCTTCCTCTCATCTTTTTGCTTTGTCATTGTCTTGCCTTTAACACATTTTTACTCTTTCCTTCAAGCAATTGAAGCAGATTCTATGTGTGTGCATTTTTACTCTTTCCTTCAAGACAAAGCAATTGAAGCAGATTCTATGTGTGTCTTCATCTTTGCATGAAATGGTTTTGCTTCTTTATGTAACTGTCACTTGCTCATTCCTTAGATTTTCTCTTTTCTTTTGCTGTAACGTTCCTAATCTTCTCTCCTTCAGAGCACTGGGTTGTTGGCACCAAAAGTAGATCTCTTTTACTTCAATATGGATGTATGTTGACTTTGTTTTAAGAATCACATGGATTCTTTCAAAGCTGTACAAAACTAGCAGTCGTAAAAGGCTCAAGCCAAACAGAGGGCCTGCCAACCTTGACAATGCACTTCTGTGCTTCCAGAGACACTATTGTTAATGCTGGCACCTTAACTCATGCAACTGCATGGTCCAGGAAACTGGTATGGGGAAATAGTCTTTCACCTCTATTTTGGCACTTACATCTTAACTTGCTTTTGTTATCATCTGATGGCTGCTTTATATCCCATGTGAATGGATTAGGAAGTTTCATTCCTATTTTCTGTGTGCAGGCCTCCAGGTCACAGAGGGTACCAGCTAAACGGGCCTTTGCAGGGCAGCCTGGGCTCAACTCTGAGAACAAGATCCGTGCAGCTACCTGCTCATCGCGGGGGCAGCAGGAAGGTCTGGGGAAGCTGGGACAGCCACCACACTCATAACCTTGCGTTTTGGATGGAGAACTTTGTTCTTCACTGCTGTTCATCCAGTACCTCTCCCTTTACTTAATTCATATGTGTAATTAAATAGTTATAAGTGTGTCTTAGCTAAGCACATGAAAAATGCATGTGCATGCCCTACAAAATAATGGCACATGTAGAACAGCGACTTGCATATATATTTAGCTGCCCACTTCTGAAGGAAGTTGCTTGCTTTGTGCATGCAAATAAGTGTCTGAATAGTTAGAGGCCTGAATTAGAAAATAATCCACTCATTAAAGTGCAGTTACTCACTGATAAATAACTCCGTAACTTAGGAGCATGATGTTCCCCACGTGTTATCTGTTCATGACTTTCTAATCCAGTCTCTTAGATTGCCAGATAAACGGAATACTTTTTCTAACTGCCAGTCCTTTCAACTCCACCTAGATCTGAAGCTCCTGAGCAGGAGCAAGCATAAAATATTTTCTTTAAAAATAAAAAGTAAAAATTAAATAATTAATATCCTGCTATTTTTTTTAAATCAAAGTTGTTTCTGAGCAATATGTCCAAGATTCTTTCAGGTTTCCACCTTCTGAAAGACACAGCACAAAACAGTTCAGAGCAGTTTTAAAATTTGTTCCTAAAATTTGTACATAGAAATAAGTTTGATAAAATTTTGTCTTTAGTCAGTTAAATCATTGGGAACACAAAATTCAGTATTTAACTCCTAATATGTTAATAATTATACAGCATGCAGTTAAGTCAAAATGGTTTCAGACTGGTGTTTTCTGTCATATATTTGAGAAAACCAGATGTTGAGGATTTGTTTCTCTAAATCCGTATTCTCTGCTGCCTGAGTTCTAAGCTGAACATGAAGAAGGGTTTTGTTCTCAAATGTTGCTGTGTCAGTCTGTTAAGAAGGGTGGCACTGTCACTTCCATAGCCCCAAACCATGCTGGAATAGTTCATGGGTCGTGGGTGTCCTACCCCATGACCTTGAGCTGAGTGATGGTCTTGACCTACCCTAACTGCCAACCAACCATAAGAGCTCTCTGCCTTTTCAGTCTTTTAAGCCACATTTTGTTAAATGCAGCCTCCTACATGGCACAAAGAGACTTGAGATAAATGTATGAGAATAAACATACTCCTTGACTTGTATAATCAATTCTGATGCCGTTCTCATGAGCAGAGTTACAAGTATATTAAGGGCTGATGTTTATTTATACTAAGCTCACTTTACATTTCTTCAGTCCTATGCAGAGATGTTACAAAGGAAAGAAATTGTATTTATTTTCACCGTAAGGATCCTTTCCATAAACAGCATTATGCAGAATTACCTTAGTATAATAATCAGGCCCGTAAAAATCTGCAGGGTCAGAGTTGTAGTTTGAATATGTTCTCATTCATATGCAACAGTGAAATTAGTGTGTTTTGTCTGCTTCATTTACATGCACACATACCTGTTTGTGAGAGCGTGTAAAGGCAGGAGTTGTCTTCAATCTGTGGCTCCCGTGCTTTGATTCATGAGCCACCAACAGATTTAGAGGAGTCCTGCAGAGGCAGCTGGTCACAGGCCGGGTTTCCCCCCTCCTTCCTTTCATGTGTTTTAGCAGGGAACTAAGCTGTTCTTTGCAGAATAGTGTTTTTCAGCATGCTTTTTCCACAGGAAATTTTGTCACAGAGAAGTTGCATGAGAAATGTCTATGAACATCCTCTGTGAGGATTTGGTCCCAGCTCTGGAGAAGTTTGAAAGTTTTTCTCTTTAAACAGTGCACAAACTTGTAAAACAGGTTATTCCTTTGCATGTCGTTTTAATTGACACTTAGATGTTTGAGGATTAACATTTTAAATACTGCATACAAAGAAGCCAAGCCTGATTTTTTTCCTCTAAAGGGGTAAGGGTGACTGGTAACTATAAAGGGCTTTCATAGAAGTGAAACGTGTGCTCTTTAGCCTGGCTTCATGGCCTCAGTTCCACTTTTATTTGTACTAGGAAAACTGGAAGGCTGTTACACTGCAACATCACCACAAATTCATGTAAGTGAGGAAAACAAGATAAAAGTGCCAGAGCCCATGAAGTGTTTGATGGCTGTAGAGGGAGAAGGGAATGATTTTTCCTTTTTTTTTTTTTTTTTGATGCTCAATATTTATACAGCTGCCTGTTTAGCAGTGCATGACACCGGTCAAACAGAAGAGCACTAACCTACTTGTAATGCCGACATTTAATACTCCTCCATTTCAAACCGCTCCTTTCGCAGGAATGTCGGATCCTGAAGAATTTTTCCTCCTTGAGGGCCATCGTATCAGCACTGCAGTCCAACTCCATCTATCGGCTAAAGAAGACCTGGGCTTCGGTTCCAAAGTAAGCTCCCCTCTCTCCCCTTGCACCTGCGGCTAGCCCCAAACAAAGCCAAAAATCCATGTTCCTTGTTTCCCTTTCGGCCTTCCCGTTCAACTCCTTTGTGGACCTGTGCTCTCATTCTGAGAGGAACCTCTCGGTACAGTGAGGCTCAAAACCCTCATGGGGTCTCAGTGTTGTGAGCTGCTTTTTGATCCTGAGGGCAAGACCTGCCCTTAGTGTCCTTGAGATTCTTCTGTCCTCTTGAGCATATCAGATCTTCCATCCCCTATTTTGTAAGAATACAGAAGTAGTTACTGGCGCAGCTTGTGGTCCTCAGAAGATCCACAAAATGGCATCAGAATGGTTGACTGATGACTTCTCTCATGTGGGGTTGGAGGTCTGCGATCCTACCAACCCTCACCAGTCCTCTCTTACCTCTGAGATTTCCTCGGAGGATATTCCTAAACTACAAAATTCACATGTGCATTGAAGACAGTTTCTCAAAGGCTTTTTAGGCATCAGGCATGCAGCAGACACTAGAAATCTCTGCACAGGAAAGATGGTATTTTGCTTGTTTGTTTAAGGAGGAATAGATTTTTCTCCTTTGCCTTTGATAACTGAAGAAAAATATTTCTTCTAACCTAAAAATACAGCCCTGTCATGCAGTATAATTCTGCCTTTCGCCTTCCAGCCACCTGCTTCGCTCTTCGAAATCACTGCATTTATTTACAGCGGTGGCAATGAAAAGGCACTTTTCCAGTGCTTACAGCTTTGCAGAGGGCTTGGAAGAGAACAAAAACAAACCCTTACGACACCTCTGCCAACTGCCCTTCTGTTCTTTCTTATCTCTCCCCTTGTCTTGCTGCGATGTGATTGAAACCCTGCCCAGAGTCCGAGTACTGAGAGCAGCATTTCCTTGTGGTGCTGTAAAATAAGGCCTGGCTGTCCCGGAAGCATCAGCGAGTCTCCAGAGGGTTCCTAGGAGATGTGCAGAATCTCATTACATGTATCTGCAGTTGCCTTTTTACATGCTTGACCGTTATCCATTCCTCAGGAAAAAAAAAAAAAAAAAGCATATTCACTCTAATTCTGATTTAGAGTGTTTACTAATAACCAAAATTATTCAAATCTTTTCCCATACAGGGACAGAATGCTGATGTTTGAAGAGCTATCTGATATCTTCTCGGATCATGACAATTATTTGACAAGTAGAGAGCTGCTAATGAAGGTGAGAGTTAACTCGAGTGCAAGGCTTGTCTTAGTCAGTGCTGAGATTAGCCTGTTCTCTAGCCAGAACTTACCTGTCTTTGCACTACTTCGTGCAGTGCTTCAGGGAAGATGGCTCTGTAGCTTGTAAAAACAAATAAATGAAACAAGCCCCGTGCTTCTCTGCCAGGATGAGAGGTGACTTCGTTGTTCCTAGAAAGGGAGCCCATGGAGCTTCATGTCACAAGTAGCAAGGTAGCAGCAGCGTAGGTTTCTGGGGGACTTGTTCACAAGAAAGCAGCTCAGGGCCTTCCTCAGCCTCTGAGCCCCTCGCGCTGCATGTGGCGCTGCTGTGGCCTGGGCACAGCGAGGACTAGCTCAGGATACCTGTGCCTGCTGCACTGCATCTGGGCTTGCACTGAAGCAGGAACCAGCATGAACAGGTGCTGCACAATTAGTGAGTGACTAAATAACTTCCTGCTGCTCTATATATAGAGAGAAAGGACTTGCACAGCCTTTGAGTAAACCTGGAAACGGTTGGGATTTGTGCTCATGAGTGCAGAGCAATTCCAGACAGGACTCTCAGCTGGGCTATGCCACTGCAGCACAGCCCTTGACATCACTGGAGCAACGCCAGTTAGCTGGAGCAGTCAGACACCATGTGCTGCCTCTCCCTTACCTTCCTTGGAAGTGGAAAGCAGCACTGGGAGTTTGGAGGCAATGGGCTTCCTGCTGCGCGTGCAGCCCCACGGCCCGATCTGTTCAGCAGCATTTCGCTTCTGTGCTCTGCTGGGGGAGCCCCAGCAAGCTCAGGAACTTGAAAGGAGTTGATGGAAAGTTATATCATATAGTAACTAAAGGAAGTTTTGATGGTATTTTTTTCTGTTTACATAAAAAATTGCCATAAATTGTCTAACCAGTTTACTTTTTGGCAGTGTCTACCTAGTCTGTCTGGTATTTGTATCAGTCTGTCTGTGTTTGTATCTTATCGTATTGCCTTGACATCTAAACACTGTATTTTGCTCAGGAATGACAGTTGAACACTTTCAAACCTGTCAGCCTGTCGTTACATATCATCCACTTACCAACATGTATAGTGTAATTTTTAAGCAGGTGGGATAATAATAAATACAGACGAAAACTACGCGTGAGTGTTTAGAACAGCTTGGTTAATTAAATATTAAAAAAATGAAACAACAACTCAGTCTGAGCCCAGACCTTCTGGCTCCTGCCAAATCATTCTCTCCAGCTGCTGCAAGGAGATTTGCAAAACATTTTGAAAGAATGAGTGGGAAAAAAAAAATCTACCAAATAACTAGATCTTCTCTCCTAGTGTTCATCTTGGACGAGTCTGGTTTGGAGGATTAGTGTCCACTGAATCCTTATTAAAGTCATTGATTTCCTTAACAAACTAGTCTCTCAAGGAAGCTGTGTTTGACCTTGCCTGTCCATCCTGTGAAGCTCTATGTGTAGGACAGACAAAACGCTATGAAAACCAGGCAGGCGGCGAGGAGAGGGAGCTCCTGTTCCCTTCTCCCTCGACTGCGGTTGTGTTGTGAGGCTGCAATTTTACCTTCTGCTATCTTGTACAGCACTCCTTTTTTATTTGCTTCTATTTTACAGCTAGGGACAGAAATAAAACAAATTTCAGCTCCTCTGTGCCTGAGAAAAGTTGTAACCAGAGGATCTTCACTAGAGCAGGCTGTTGTTCTGTGCCTCTTAAAAAGACACTGATAATGATCCATGCCACATCTATCTGGTCACTGGGAAAATGCAGTAACTCTCAGCATCCCATATGGATTCAGGGTAAAAAAAGGCCAGAGATCTATTGTGAAACAGAGCATCCATTCACAGGAAAACTTGGAACTGTGGAGATCAAAACCTATTACTTCCATTTCCTGCATGTTTTTGGATTAGTCAATAAGCCACTGAGGTTAGTTGCTGGATCTCTATTTTGTGGCACAAGAAAAACAAGCATTACATAAGAGGGAGATGTTGACTTGCAGCAGTCCTGGTTAGGAAATGAAATGGAGATCTTAAGGTCAGCAGTGTCAGGATAGAATTCAGAGAAGCATCTGCACACGTGAGGTATATTTAAATTTATCTGATTTAAAATCTCAGGAAATTTGCAATACTGCTTAGCTTTGGCTGGACTTAGAACTATTTTGCAGAAAAATTCCCTCAATGGTCATTTGGGGGGATTTTGCCAAAATTCACAGGCAATGAAGAAAATTAACTTGTGCACATATGCACATGTGTAGCTGTGCAGCAAATAGTTTTGCTGGCCTAGCTTGACTTGTTAGGTGTATTTTCAATTATTGTACACAAATGTAGTTCCACCTTCCTCTTGCCTCCTCCGTTAACTGCCTTTTCATTCCCTCACAGGAAGGCACTTCCAAATTTGCAAATCTGGACAGCAGCGTGAAAGAAAACCAGAAGAGAACACAGAGGCGTCTTCAGCTCCAGAAGGACATGGTGGGACTTGTCTCCTTTTCCTCCCTTTTCTGACCCGATAATGTGATTACCCTCATCATTAGTGAATTATATGTGAAGCAAAATCTAGAAAGGTATTTAACAGAGCAAGCAGGCAGGGCACATATATAAAATATAACATAAACATAATATATAGCTTATATATAATAAAAAGTTAGGGCCTTTTGTCATACAAAAATATCACTAACACATCAGTGCTATTGATTAGTCAATGCAAAACAAGTGAACCAAAAAGTTTACATTGAACATAAAGTCAAAATCCTTGTCCCTGTCAACATCTGCCTCAGGCTGTATTTCCTTTACGCTGTGGTTGTTGATAAGCAGTTAATGCTATGTGTATATAGTATGTGTATCTAAGTTGCATATATAAACAGTTACAAGATGGGAGTTGTGCTATACTGGTGCTACCAGCACTGCTGCTGAGCTGTCCAGCCTGCAAGAGTTCCAACAGTTTTTAATACAAGGCAGCTGTCCTTTTTGCTCAGGGAAAGTGGTTATACCGAACATCAGCACATCCAGTGCATTTCTGCTGAGAATGGTCACAGATTCCAGTATTTGGTGGGGCCCATAACGTTCCCTGGCCTCCATCTCCCCTGGTTCCCTGTGAGGCAGTAAACGGGTGCCTGGGACACTGCTTCCATCCCCACTTGCATTTGCTTAACCTCCCAACCAGCTGCTCAGGATGGACACTGAGCCGAGAGCTTGGCCTTAGTTTCACATCTTACAAAAACGTACTAAACCCGCCATATGGAAGAATAACGACTGACTGATGACTATAAACACATACTCATTGCTTCAATTGTCTTGTATTCTGCCTTGCAGGAAAGAACTCTGTTAACTGTTCCTCTGGAGCTTTAGGCTGAACTCCAGGGTGAAAAGACACAACTTTCAGTTAGTGAAATTATGTAATGTAAATATTAAAGCCTTGTGATACAGAAAACCAGCTCTGGCCACAGCAGAAATCTCCTTTATTTTTAAATAAGCTCATGAAGCTTCTGACACATTAGCATGAAAATTGCAGAGTTTTGCGGAGATTACTTTTTTAAATGTCTCTGCTTTCCAATTTGCTGGAGAAAATGGCTTTTGTCTCAAAGTTGACTAATATAAAAAAGACCAAGGGAAGAGAAAACTGCGATAGGGAGGCAAAACGGATGAATATGGGTTTTGTTTGTCTTTTAGCTCGACTGGAAAAAATACAGATTGCTTAATATGACAGAAACAAACATTTTCTTCACAAATGTATAGACAGTCCAAAAGTTTAACATTCAAATCCTAAATTAATTAAAACACAATAACTGGATGGGGAAGATAAGCACATTTTGAAGGAAATAATGTGACTGTGATTGCATGATCTGATAACACCTCTTAGTAAGAATCCACAAGAAGGTGCCAGAGAGCGGAGCTGTTTACCCAAGGCAGCCAGGGCCGTTGCCCAGGTCTCACTTGCAGCGGGTGACAGTGGGACCCTTTCACTGGTGCTCTGTGCTCTTTCCAAAAGTGGAGTTTCCCTGCTGCTAGAAATCAGTCGATGGAATCAGTGTTGAAATATGTAGCTGCTCCTTAAGGTCTCTGATAGCATCCTGCTCTCATTAGAATTTGATGCAAGTACTAGATTAGATACTGAGGCTAATGTGTTGACAGAAACCATGTCATTTAAAAGACTGGTGTTTTGTTGAGCAGGCTGCTTCTATATTATATTTTATGCAGCAGTAATAATGTGTGGCTGACACATTATTACTGTTTGTCAGTCAAATAATCTAACATTGCTGTGATCCTTTGCAGGGAGTAATGCAGGGCACAGTACCCTATCTTGGTACCTTCCTCACTGATCTGACCATGCTTGACACAGCTCTTCAGGACTATATTGAGGTAATTTGGGGTGATTTTGGAATCCTGCAAATCCTTTCTGCCTGCTCAGTATGGGGTGCATGCATTCCTCTATCTTTCACTGGATTCTCATGCAGTTCTGACAATTCAGGACAAATGGAGGCATTTGGTTTCAATAAATGGAGGGAATGTGCAGTTTTATTAGTAGCAAGAATCTTGTGTGAATATAAGAAGGTAGCTTGTTTGAAAGGACATGCTCAGCATTGTCTTTGGTCATGATTAGGTTTTCAGACACCTTCTGTTCATACTGAAGTCCCTGTGAATTACAGGTAGGTACTCAATATCCTTGGAAATTGGCCTCCATTAATACAGACCCTTCAGGCACTCCAGCTCACTTAAGGCTGGCGTTGATGTTTATGATAAGAAAGCACAAGCCTCCCTTCTTTCCGGGCTGGCAGCAGCTGCTGCTGGTACTTCTGTGAAACTTCACTGAAGTGAGCATGCCTAGAGTTGATATATATTCTTTTCTTTTTTCTTTTTTTTTTTTTAAAGCAATTTCCCTTTTACCTGTGCTATTGGTTCAGTTGGTGTTTATAACTCACTGGGAACACTTCTGGAGTCCCAGTGGAGGCAAAACTATAATTTGTGTCTGGTGTGAAATTCGTGGCAGTGTTCTTCAAAATCTCTCCACACCTCCTAGGAACATTCCTGTATAGGTCTTTCCTTTTTGGGCAGATTGCCATTTAGCCCATGAGGACAGATGTTCTCTGGAGACTTGTATGTGAACGCTATAGTTTTTACCGTATCTGAAAACGGCTAAAAGGTCCTTCCTCAAGGCAGGCCTGTGTTTCGCATTAGCATTGTTAGTTGATCATCCTGTTTGTGATTAAGTCCCATTAAATATGTGATCTTCTCTTCTGATCCTTTTTCTTTGCTTCCAACAGGGTGGCCTGATAAACTTTGAGAAGAGGCGAAAGGTAAGTTAAATTTTTTGCAGTGCTTAATTTGCTGAGACTTCTAACTAGGCTGGAGAAGTTTTTGACTTTCCCTGGGAATTAACAGCAGCTGCTAATTTTATGGTTGGACTTGATCTTTAAGGTTTTTTCCAACCATAATGATTCTGTGATAATTTAATGCAAGTTATTTGTACATGAGGAGAGAATACTAGACCTCTGAAAGGCTGCGAGCTCATGTGAACTGCAGCGTGGCGCAGGAAGAGCCTTGGATTTAGATGTGTAGAGGAGAAGAGGAACTGCAGGCCACTTAGTTCCATGAACTTTACCCTTGTGGCATGTACATGTCCTCTCCTTGGTTTGACATTCATGGAAAAGTTACACACGTATGTCCTGTGGTGCAAGGGGGATCAGCCTGGGCCGCATGTGAACTCTGCTTTTCAGAAAACACTCTTTGTGAGCTTCTTCCTTCTGCTGCAGTAAACTGCTGTGTAGATAAAAGGTGCAGAGAAGAGGAATCTAGGTACTGGGACTGAGAAACGAATACTGTGAATCTTTCTCTTGAGCCTGATCCCTGTTGGTTAAAGAGAGAAATAATGCTGTGCAAGAGGCCAAGGACTAAGGTCACATCTGTCTGAAGAAAAGCATGCCAAATCTCTGCTGTGGAGTCTCAAAGCAGACTTTGATTTAGTTTTGACGGAGACATTTCCTTCCTTTAACTGATTCCCAGTTCTATAAACCACTTCTTGAACTTGCATTTTATTTACAGCTGCATGGCTCAGGGTATTAATAATGAGATACACGAGTTCTCCTTGGTCATGAGGCCAGCTTCATACACAGCAGCAGCAAGGCTGCCCTCTGGACCGTCCCGAGTACTCACATTGGTTCCTGTACTCTGATTCTACAAGCTGTTCTAACACTAGGAGTTTTTAAAAAATTACTCTGGCAAGGCATGCACATAAGTGGAGTTACATAAGAGTCGCACATTCCATTCACTCCAGCAGGGGTATCATTTTATCCCCATCAGGTGAATGCAAGTGCGAGTGCAAAAATTCCAGTATAAAATCAGTCTTCCATCTCAAGCACCTATAAATACTCCTTGTTTGCAGTGTGAGAACTGCTAAAGTGCAGAGTATGGCAGTAGAGGGTACAGAGCACTCAGGCTCGTGGAGAACGAGTGGTTTTGGGACCTATCAATGGGGTATATTGATATCAAACCCCATGGATAGGTGTGGAGCTGGACAGGCATCGGTGGCAGTCCGTCTTGAGAGCTCACCATGTTCATCCTCTTGGGTGGCTTCCAAGAGCAAAATGGTCCCAAAAGCGAAAGCCACAGGTGCCTGTCGTGAGCGAGAGGTACAGGGGGTTCCTGGCACTCACCAACAGCTCTTGGCACCTGGTTATTTATCAGGGAGTGGTTTTGTTTTTTGAAATACTTTGTGACTCTTGAGACAGCCAGTTACTGATTTGAAACTGAACCTGAGCTCCCACTAATTTGTCCATGGACTGCTGTCTAATATTTTTACTTGTAGACTTTATCTTGTTTTCTAATAAAATTCCTACTTGCTTATATATTTTCTTAGGAATTTGAAGTCATTGCTCAAATTAAGCTCTTGCAATCTGCATGTAACAGCTATTGCATGGCAGCAGACCAAAAATTCATCCGGTGGTTCAGGAAACAGCAGCTTTTAACTGAGGAAGAGAGGTAAGGCTATTGATGCAGTTGGTGAAACAGGCTTTTCTTACCCCACACCTATTGGAATGAGCTCCGTGAGCTTTCGATGACTTTTTGCAGGGACCTACATGTACTGCTAGTCGAGGAAAATGAAAATACATAAGCCTTCTAAATACCCTAGAAAACATTTTTTACTATTTGGCAAGATGTAGTTTTGACATTGGAGAATAGGTTTCTGATGGAAATGTGCTGCCTGCTCAGCAGACGCCCCAAGGCCCCTGCAGGGTCAGTGCTGGGGTTCAGCTGGCGCAGCCCGGGCAGCGCCGCGCGCTCCCTGCGGGGCTCTGTGCTGCCGCACGCGCTGCTAGCCACACCCAAGCAGCTTGGTTAAGGCTGCTTTTAATATCTACTAGATATTAAACACTTTTAGTCTTCAAAATAATTTTAAAATAATTGTAAGAATTATTTTAAAGTATCTGCTTTTACATGGGAAGTTCCTTTTCATATAGTTTCAATTTTCTGTTGAAGTGGGAATAACTGCAGATTTTTCTCTCTCTCTGGAATATTTAGCTAATAGCATTGTCTTTAACAACTAAGCCACTTGTCTCTGCTCTGCAGTTACAGCCTTTCATGTGAGATTGAAGCAGCTGCTGACACCAGCACCACGTCCCCGAAACCTCGGAAGAGCATGGTGAAGAGACTCAGCCTGTGAGTACGACAGAGGGGCTACCGGCATCGGGGGGGCTACTGTGACCTGAACAAATCAAACAAGTAATTTCACCAGCAGAGAAGCTTGGCCAGGAATCCAGAACATTATAATAATTTAAAGAGTCACTGTCAGCTGAAAATTCATACTTCTCTCTGAAACTGTCCTTTCTGTTGTTGTAAGTAATCATCATGAAGATTGCTAATGATGAAAGAGATTAGAGAAAACAAGCCATCTGCAGGTGCTGGGAAAAGGAACAATATTCAGTGCTGAATTAGAAATTCAACATGGTATTGTGTAAAAATTTCCTTAAATGCAAAATACAGTAAATGAAGATAAAGGCTTGGTCTGTAATCATAGTCTAAATTACTATATACATGCAAGAATTCCTTGCAGGATTTTAATATGAAACTTTAATAAAATGGCATCCAATGATAGAAATAATCTTCTTAAACTGCCTTTGAGCTAGAAAAATAAAATAATCATAGGACATGATCTGATTTAGTGTGATACCTTTAAAGATTCAGCCAGGAGGTGTGTGAAGAAGAGCAGCATGTAGCTAAAGCAGGCAAGGGAAACAACAGACTAGCAGGAATCCAGGGAGAGCACAGATCAAGGGGGCAAAGTAAAAGAATCTTAAAGGTGAGGGATTTGAATCTGATACGAGAAGGCAGGAGGTGGGAAGGGTTTCCCACATACCAGTGGCATGGTCAAGATGAGGGAAAGGTAGTGAATTTAACAGCACTGGAAGCTCTTAACTGTGCTTTCCTGATTGGTTCTTTTAGCTATTTTTATGCAGAACAGCTGGCAGACCTTCAATCCAAATCAGCAGTATTTCGGATTGGGGTTTAAATGAAGAAGGGTCTTTTTAGTCAAGGGATTTGAGTGCTGATATGCAAAAAATCAGGCTAGCTGTTTCAATTAGTCTGAGTTGACAGAAGAAAGGTAGGAGGAGCTGCACTTTGAAGATGAGGTGTCTGCACTCAGTTGCCTCTCTTCTGTACCCCCTTGCTTGTGCCTAAGCTGTGCCGAAGAAATGTCACAGCTAAGCACTGGCCTTATTCTCTCCTTTCTGCCTATCTTTCCGTGCCATAATACTGTAATTACCATAGCATCATCTTTGTTTGCACTGTGCAGTATTTATCTAAAGAACTGTTTCCTGTATAATCTGAATACATGTTGCAAATTTATAGTGTAGAAGAAACTATCATTATTCTTCCTGGAACTGGTGAGTGACACCTGCTTAAATTGTTTTAAATTATTAACTGGTTGCTGACATAATAGCTAATTCACCTTGTTTCTCTACCTTGTGTATTATACTAGTTTGTTTCCTTTGACACTCCTTTAAATTTACTTCACCCGCATTTAAAAATAAGTCTTGGAGAGAGAGAGAGAGAGAGCGAGCGCCTATAATTTACACTTTCTTGTCATCTTCTCATTGTGTACACTCATATTTAAACTCTTAGAGGAAAACTGGTATCTGGGGCAACTTTACTGAGTGAAAGAATTTGCAGCAGGGGTGAATTTGCCTTGGAAGGCCTTGCCCAGGACACGACGCATTACCCTTCATGCACTACTTATTTCACCTCACTGAGATGCCGTGTCAGTGGGACCAGGACGTGAGAGCAGTGCGTGGGAGTGCGTAAGGTGGAGTCACAGCTGAGCCTCTACCTCGCCCCTCTGCCCTTGCTTTGCAAACACATCGAGCCAATCATTCCCTGGCAAGCAAGTCTACGAGAATCTCAAAGATGGAAAGGGAGCCCGGTGCAAACCGCTCACGAGTTAGCTCGGGTTCTGGCCTGGTAGCTGCTGTGTGTGCTAGGTCCAGAAGGCATTGTGTGTGTGTTAGTGTTTAACAAATTCTCTTGACAAATTCTCTTAACATTATAGAAGAAGTGAAAACAATAGGCTACACAAGATAGGAAAACAAAACAGAAGATAAGATTTTTGAGCCAAGTGACAGCTTTGCTCAACCCCAGCACTATTCTGCTTTTACTTATGGGCTGTGATGCTTTGTTTTCTGTACTAGACTGTTCCTCGGATCAGAGGTGATCACCAATAGCACACCCACCAAAGAGCAGCCCAAATCTACTCCAAGTGGGAGCTCTGGTGAAAGCATGGACTCTGTCAGTGTCTCGTCGTGCGAGTCTAATCACTCCGAATCTGAAGAGGTCTGCATCACTCCCATCGACACTCCCGACGAGCCCCAGAAAAAGGTACAGTCTGGGGGCCTTGTTGCCAGCACAAACATCCTGTGAGGGACCAGCGACACCAGTCTTGACTGGAGCATTGCTTTTAGTGGGATGGAGAGACTCTAAAAATAAATGTACAAATAGGGAAGCAATCTAGTCATGCTTTTCACATGATCTCTTTTTTTCTTGCCAAGATATAGGGCAAATTAGTTTTCCTTCTGTTTTCTTGTGGCATCTGACATGGTTTTTGATTTCAGATGAGGTTCTGTAAGAGTAAAAGGTTTTTCTTTCAGTCCCTAAGCATCTTGGCATGTGCAGGAAGTGTCATAAAGACACTTGAACGGTGTGCTGCTAAAGCCCTTCTCTGGCTGCGATGGCAAAGCCGGCACGCTGGCTGGCCGGGATGTTCCCTGGGAGAAGGAGCACCAGGATGACGCTGTGGGTGGGTGATGAGGCAGCCATGCCAGGCTCTGCTGCCGGCGGGAGACCCGCAGAAGGGATCCGATGGGGGATCCGCAGCAAGGCCTCTCCTACAGGCAGGCTTGTGCTGGTGACAGGCTTTTGAGGGATGCTTTGCTGAGGAGTGCTAGATTGCGTGTTAGCTTGTGAGCTTTTAAAATTAAATGGCACTAAATGTTCTTAGACCCAGATGAAGCGCATGGCTCCAGATGCTGGCATTTACGTAATTGTTTAGTAAGTGTTTAAATTGTTCAGGTAGAAGAGTTGTCGGAGTGCTCTCTGAGCAAACTGGCGAGGGACACTTGCCCAGCAGTTTTTGAACAGGCAGATAATGAGAGCGACAGGAGCCTGAGCAGCAGGGGAAGGGAAGGAGGCAGTTACCAGGGCACTCCTGCTTTCTAAATTATTCTCAGCTCTCAGTTGGAAGTCCACAACTCCACTTTGTGAGTTGTATCTGCTGCCACCTCCCGGCCTGTTCCTGTGTGAGCTGCAGGAGATAGGCACCAGCAAGCAGCAGTGTCAAACACAGAGAATCGAAAGTAAATTTTCATTAACATGATGAAATTATCAAGTTAAGTTCATTTTTTGTAGAGGCAAAGAACAGTACTGCCAAACTCATGGGCAAAGTACAGATAACTGAGGTTTTATATGTGCCTCTTGCTTCCTCACATTCTTCCTCCAGAATGACCAAAAATAAAAATGTCAAGTTTATGACTGTGTTTTTTTTTTTTTTCCTTCTGCTATGTAGCTCTCCGAATCCTCCTCCTCCTGTTCATCCATCCATTCCATGGACACATCTTCCTCAGGGGTGTCATCTTTAACCAACGTAATCTCATCCCCGCCCTCCTTGTCCTCCAATCCCAAAATCCACAAGCGCTCTGTCTCCGTGACATCCATCACCTCAGCAGTGCTGCCTCCCGTTTACAACCAGCAGAACGAGGACACGTGCATCATCCGAATCAGTGTAGAAGACAACAACGGCAACATGTACAAGAGCATCATGGTAGGTGCTGGGCAGAGTGTCACCGGGGCCACTGCCGCACTGCGAGTGCTGCCCAGCGTCACTGCCTGTGGCCAACGACCTGCCCAGGCCTCAGCACCCATGTCCTAGCCCCGCTAGGGCCTGGAGGTGGCAGGAGGGCAGGGGACAACAAACCCTGGGTATGTCTTAGCACAGGCAGTAATTGTATGATTTTAAAGGCACTGAGCCACTAATCCTGAAGAGATGTCCCTGCAGGGAACTAATAAACCCTGCCACTGGTGAGACAGATCTTCCTTTTGGTTTCATTAGGCTCTGGAGAGATCCCCATGTCTGCTCCAGACGGACAGCACTTCGTGGCAGACAGTAAAGTAAGTTGCAAGGCCAGGAGTCTTTGCAAGATGTCAAAGACATTTAGTACATGAGACTCCAGTTGAATTGATGTCCACAAACCACAGATGGGACAGGGAGTTATATGGAAGTTTATGGCTAGTGAGAGCAATCTCTCAGAAGTGTTTGCTCAGAGGAGCAGACAGTGTGTGATTTACTCTTGTCTCTGGTAGCTCAGATTAAAAAACAACAAATGTCACAAATACCATGATTTGGTGTTGAGCAGTCTGTATTATTTAATTACTAACCGAGCATAATTTCTCAGTTCTCTGAGCTCTTTTCCAAAACCCAGTGGTGAACTGTAACTAAACTGTTAGTAGTTATTGAATCATAATTATTATATAAAGTGAATAAGCAGAATCTCTCATGGCAAATTTGTCTTTTCAGCTAACTAGCCAAGACAAAACTCCTGCTGTTATCCAGAGAGCTATGTCAAAGCACAACCTCGAATCTGACGCTGCTGAGGAATACGAGCTTGTACAAGTCATCTCTGAGGACAAAGGTAAGGATGCAGAGCTTTGCTACTGCTTCACTGAAGGAGTAAAATATGAAGCAACTTTAAGACTTGCATTTGTAGAACAACTGCCCATGGTTGCCAGCTGCTTTAAAGGCACAACATGAAAGGGAAAGGGGCCAGCACATGCCATGCAGCACAGACTTCTGCAAGTTCCTGCTTGAAGTTTAACCAGCTTGCAACAAGCAAAGGGGTGCATTGAAGAGTCTGGTCAATAAGTGACACTGTGGCATTACTGAAACTCTTGTGGACTTAGGGCAGTCTTGAGTGATGTGATCCTGGGCTGGTTCGGCATGGAAGCTGCTCCCTTGGCCTGGATAAAGGCAGGCCAGCGTTGCTGAAGCCGGGCTGCAGGGCCAGCTGTAACCAGGGCAGCGCTTTGCTCTTCAGTGCTTATCTCTGTAACCTGTACAGCGAGCTCCGGGGTCTAATGGTATTTCTTTTAACTAAGGAAGGGTAAGAAACCACTGTTTATAATTCATGCCAGACACCAAGCTGGCCTAGTGCTCGTCTGCCTGGCTGTGTATTCTCAGTCTGTTCATCTGTTGCCTGTTTTTTCCCTTGCTTTAATTCTGCTCTATGCAGATCTGTAAATTCTTACGGTTAACTCTGCTTCTGTTCCCCCTTTCGCAGAGCTGGTGATCCCAGACAGTGCGAATGTGTTCTATGCCATGAACAGCCAGGTGAACTTCGATTTCATCCTGCGGAAAAAAGCGCCAGTTGATGGGCAGGTGAAAATGAGGAGCCGCTCGAGTCTAACGCTCCCCAGAACTGCCAAGCGGGGGTGCTGGAGTAACAGGCACAGTAAAATTACGCTTTGAAGGGGAGAAGTGCACACACAGGTGAACTGGTTGAGAAAATACCTTTGCTACCATCCAGTATTACAGAGTCACAGCAAATGAATGTGTCAGTATTCAACTTTGAAAATATCTGAGACTTAAATGCAAAGCCAAGAGGTGTCTTTCTCCTCCTCTGACTATGGAGATAGACAGACAGACATGGATTTATGGGACAGTCTGGACTAGGAATTTTTTCTTTTGCACATTAGCCTAGGAAGGTTAGAGCCCCATTTACAGGGGAAAACAGGACCGGTTGTCTTAAGAACGCCACCTAAGCCAACTCTTCTTGTGAGAAAGCATTTTCTTTTGTGCCAGTATTATACAGAACACCTGAATTTATTTTTATAAAACTGGAGAAGAAAAGTCACAATAAAACTCTGCCTAAACCAAGAAGGAGATCCCAGCCAGCCTACCACAGACAGAGAGCACTGCACAAGGTGAGGGTGAGCTGAGAGCCACTAGCGGTTGCTGCCTCCAGGAGGCACCTGAGTTCATGGAAAAGCAGGGTGGATGTCCCAGAACACTCATCTCTGGAGACAAAAGAAGAAACTACAATTGTGTGTATTGCTTTCACACAGCTGGCAACTTTTTTTTTTTTTTTTTTGCACTTGTTCCAGGCCAGAAAAATGCATATTTTGGATTTTTTTTTCCAAAGAACATTAAAAGAATGGACTGCACTTACTTTTGGATGAATGTCATGATTTGGTAACGAACAAGGCAAACTCAAACACTACTTGTCTGGATTTTTTCTTGTTTTAATGCCACTACATTGTGGTTTTCCTTACGCTTTGCTAACCTGTTGAACAGAAGTAGATGCATTTTGCATGTACTCCAAAATGACTGATGTACCTCTTTATAATGTGCAATCACTCTTCAGGAGCAAAACTTTTGCCTGCATTAATACACGTTTTCATTCCGTGAGAAGCAACTACATTACCTTTTGTTTTAAAAGTGGGTATTAGGAGGAGGCAGCCAGGTTTACTGTATTGCCCAAAACCACCAGAAATTTTTATATACTTGTAGCATTCTTATGCATAACTTCCAAACACCTCCCTTGCTCTTTATATACATCTATTAAATGAATGGTACATCCTTTCAGATGGAATAAAAAAATTAATCATATGTTCTCTAAATAATGTATTTCTATGTCTCTTACCAGAATACAGCCTTCCTTGTAAGGACGCAGGGGTTCTATTTTAAAAAGCCATAAATGAGACAAGGGATTGTAAACAACCCTTAATGAACAGACTGTCTTGGGATACATTAGTATTAGTTAAGATATACTTAAATACTGAATTTTATCCATGTCTGGGGCGTTTTTATCAGGTCTATAGCAGTAAATTTTAAAGCTGGGCTGAGATTATGTTAACATACAGTCAGTGATAAACTCATGACGCAAAAGAATTTAGGTCATACTATGTTTTAGATTATTATTTAAAAATTCATCATTACCGTTTACAAATAGCACCATGCACTCTAGACTCTAGAGTCTCTAGAGTGCTCTAGAATAGTTTAAAAACACAAAGTGTAGTTTTGGTGAGCGGGTAAAGATGTCAAGGTTGTAACTGAGCCTTGAAATCTGCCCCAAGACAGGAGGAGGAGTTTAGCTCTGTGTGTGGCTCAGTGAAAGCACGCAGGGATGTCTGTTCAGGCTTCTGCAAAGCAAGGATATGCACTGTTGGGTGCAATACTGAATTAACTTCCTGACAATCTTCATTTTTAAGGTGACCCACCCTCAGAAAAGGTTATATACAAAAAAGTTTTCTTATTGCTTACCTGTAATCATTATACAATCCGTATAATATAAACTTTTTTCACAAATGTTTGCCTGAAGTTAGTGTATTTTCTTCTCTGAGGTCTTCTTATTACTACCTTTTGGATTTTAGACCTCATACCTCCTCTTCATTTTGAGCTCTGTTACTCTCTTCCAGGTCATCATTTCTAGCGTCTTAACCGTTGCCCAATTTCTTCTAGCTCCCATACCTGATATTTGCAGAACCTGAAATGCAGCATTTCTTAAACCCCTTTGCTACAGTGCTACTTCAGCACTGTTAACCCTTCAGCATCATGTGCAGTTGCAGTTTTACACCGTTTCTTAATAGTGCCAGCATAATCATAAATTGTATTATCGTATCATTTGTCAAAGTTTTCAGGATGACAGATCAACCTCTGCATCCCGTATTTCCAAAGTCAATTTTTTAAAAGAAAAATGAAAAAAAAGAACAGTTGTCTTAATGAACTGCTAGCACAGTGAAATTACAACACAGCCCCTCTGACCATCCCAACCAGCCCCCCTGTCAGGGTAGTTTTCAGGCAGCTTCGTGTGTCTTTAGCCCTGTGAGCCCCGACCGGCTCATGGTGCCGCACTGCAGACCCCCCTGTGCGTCCGGGACCTGCTCTCAGACAGCTGCTTTTGCACTCAGCTGGATAAAATAATAAAAAGAATATAATATACTGGACAGTCAGCAGGCCTCAGTCTCCTGTTTCCCAAGGCCCCATCAAGCTTCTTACCAGTGTCCAGCATCGCCGCGGCTCCTGCAGCCGGCGAGGGCCGAGCTGCGCGGCCGAGGCGGGAGGGCTGCGAGGGGACGGCCCGGCCCCATCCTGGGGAGCGGGAGCAGCTTCCAGGCGGTGGCTGCAGAACGGACACACGCCCGGCAGCTCTGCGGTGGGTGACAGGCCTGACAAAACTCCGAACTTCCTTCGTTCGGCCATCTCTGTAATTCCAGAGCCAGGGCAGGCTCCAGTCCTCGGATGTGTGCGTCTTTTTCCAAAATTCCTCGTTTTTCCAGCAGCGCTGAGGTGCCGGACGCGGAGCTTGCCTTGCCCACCACGGCCTGCTCCCAAGGCAATAAAAAGGCCACACAGTGCTCAGCTTGCACCAGGTTCTATGTATTATCAGACCCGCTGACAGATTATAACAACATGACTTTAGCAGAAAGCACAACACTGATCAGCAATTATTAAAAACAAACACCCGCAAACATGTAAAAAACCACAACTCCACGCACACCCGCCTGGGCAGAGCAGCCAGCAGGCGCCAGGCTCTTCAGGGGGCAGGTCCGGGGGGACATCCCTGCTCTGCTCTACGGCCACCGCCGGCTCGAGGTCTGTGCCAGCTAGACCCAAGCAGTGTAGTCCCTGGTCACCAGGCCTCTGGGAAACCATTTCTAACAAATAAACGGCACATTCTGCTGACATGTTACCTGATAACAAAGACATCAGAACTCACCCAAAAACAGACAAGTTTGCTCCTCACATGAAAAAAAAAATAATCAAAAGACAAGTTGCCTTTCCGTCCTAAAATATACAATTCTGAGGCTGCTGAGAACAGCTGACACCAGTAACGTTTCTGTAGATTTTGTTTTTACAAGAATAAAGTCAAGCAGTTCATAGCCAGACTTGTAAAAAATGAAAGTTCCTAGAAGCCCTACACCTGATTTTTGTGGCTTAACTAAACCAGCCTGGGAAAAGACTGTCTTGCTTTGCTCTTCTGAGGAACAACCTGAGGCAGAAGGAAGCAGGACAGACAAGGACCAGCTCTGTCTCTCCGCACAGTCTGAAGGCAACACACAAAACAAATCAGTGACTGCCCTTCTCTCTCGTTAGTTTTCAAGATTTTGGCCAAACCAACCCATCACATCTGGATTAGTGGACCTGTTAGACTCTAGGAGGTTGTGAAATTTATGGAGGGAATGCCAGAAACAGTTCTCCACAGCACTGCAGCAAAGGAGAGGAGCACTGCTCCAGTGCATTGAACATTTTTGGAAACCATTTTGATTTTGACAGAGATCCTTTCAAAAAACAAAACCAAATGACCTGCACTTGCCTGCAGTTTCTCTCAGTAAACAGAATTATAAAACCCTATAAACCTACAATGAGTAACAGTTACACAGCAGCCACTGGCAGCTACCCAGAAAGATACCGATTCCTGCACACCTCCGAGCTCCTCTATATATTAATCTTTATAAATACAGTATTCTACACAAGGAACTGTAGAAAGACGTCACTCAGTTTTGTTTTGTTTTCTTAAACAAAAACTTCTAAGAGCCTTTGTTCAGACCTCTCCCCTTTTTTCTGCCAGTCTGCAACATTTGTTTCTCCTCCTTCAGCTCTCTCCACTCCTGGAAAAGCACCTGGTTAGCCACAAAGCACCTGCTTTGCCTTTCAAGTAGGGAGGAGCCCACGCAAACAACTCTACAAGCTTCTAGGGGGATTAGCTAACGTGTGAGGCAGCTTCAGCTGCTGCCAGAGTCCTGGGCAAGGGGCAGTCATAGCTCATCCCTGGAGGACGGTGCATTGAGAGATGACTGGGGAGGAAGGGCATCCTTGTTCTGGGCATCGCTGTGGATCTTGCCCTGCTGCCGGGATTTCCAGGAGTGCGTTCTGTCCCAGTCAGTTGACACAGTCTCGTTATCCCAGATTGTGGAGGTCTCTGTGTCACTGAGGTAGCCTGGCTGCCCTGTGTAGTGGGTGGGATACACAAGCAACGGTTCTGCTGAAAAGGCTTTCAAGTCTCTGGACTCGTAGTACTCCATGTACTTCGCTCTAAAGAGGGGAGAAAAACTATCAATAACAGACTGACTGCTTACCCGTGTCACCGTTTTTCGTCTGGTTTATGAGCTAGTAGGCTGAGATGTGACCTAAGTGAGGAGATGGCTCTAAAGCAGATCTGACCCTGTACATCCATAATCATGTGCATTACAACCACAACCACACACAGCGTCTACAACCAGAGCCTCTGTTATCCACAAACAGCCAGATGTCTCCAAACCAGCTCACAAGCCCTGTATCAGTGAGGTAGGACAACCCTCCACAGGCCTCTTGCCTGCAGTTAACCAAGGAGCAGCTGTTTCCCCCTCCAGCTGAGCCACAAAAGCGAGCACACCAACTTCATCCCACTGAAGATCTCGCTTGTGTCAACCTGAGCAACAAAAGAGTTCTACTTACACAGGGTGCTTGTTGTACATGACTGGCAGAAATTCATCTACAGGCAGCATCTTGCCGAAAGGCTCAGCTCCGATGAGTTTCTGAGCTCCTTGGAAAGAGATCGCATACCCCAAGGTCCAGTAAGAGTAATCAGCCTCCACCAGGTTCATGACATTGGGAACTGCCTTCTCAGGTTGCTGCACCTGCATTCTTTTCCGGCCAATGTAGCTGAAAGGGTGAAAAGACAATGGAAATTGGAACCAAAGCGAAACTGCAGGGACTAGGACCACAAGACGGTTTCAACCAGCCGAAGGGCAAAGGGTTCAATCCAAGAAGTAATCCATGCCCCAGCTCACAGATTTCTGTCCTGCACCATGCCAGGACACCCAGCTCAGACCTGTGGGCGATGTACAGCTGTGGAACTTTGCAAGGGAGCTCAGATGCCGTGGGCCAAGCCTCAGTACTGGGCTCTGTCAGTGCCTGGGTCACAGCAGCATCTCTGGACACTACCAAGATCAAGCAACGCTGCCTGCACAGGCTCTCCTCCAAAATCCAGCAGGTACCACGTACAGCTTGCTTGGTCACTCTAGTGTCAAAGGTAGCTTTGTCCTGAAAAGTAGAACCTACTAAGATGTCTCTGCCACCTTTCCTTGCACTCCAGCATTAACCCTGCATCTCTATCCTGATGTAACAGGTACTGTTGAACTCCAGAGTTCCCAGGTGGCCAAGGAGCCACAGTTACTTACATAAGCTCCCAGTCTAGCTGAGCTTGTTCAATGTCATCCATCAGCTTCATGAGTTTCCTTTTAAACTGGTGCTCAAAGCGAACATCATCCTCAATAACGAGTGTCTTCTCCAGTTCTCTGTTCACCACCTGAAACAAGAGAGTTCCAAAGTGAGAGCAGTGGCCCACTCTCTGCACCCCAAAACTGTTGGGGCAGCAAGGCCGGTCAACCAAATGCCATCTACTATGAAGCATCCATAGCTAGAAAACTCTAAACAAGTTGTCAGATGTTTTCTGCAAAAGCGGTTGTAAAATATTTTGATGAGATCATTCCAAGCTGTTTTCAAAAAAAAAAAATTGAAAAGAAAAAGCTGAACACTGCATTCAAGAAAAACACTACATGTGGCTCCCCTATAAACTGAGGGAAACAGTTAAGTATAACTTCTGAGAACCTTCCTGTGTTTGATGCTCTTACGGGACTGCTGTACCCACAAACTCCTTACCTCCTTCCAGATATAATAGTGACTGAGGAAGCAGCCGATCTCCCCCCTGGTGAGTGGCCTGGAGGAATAGGGGTCCCGGTAGCCAGGCAGCATCTCAATGCTGAGAGCTTTCAGCTGACTCGTGTTCAGTGCTCTGAGAGGCAGAGAACAACTCACCATTAAAGAAGGCAAATTTCAAGTCAGATGCAGAGGCAAAAATGCTGCTGGTTTTCAGAGAAAAGACATCTCTAGAAATTCCTGCACTTTTTTTGCTCTAATACACTGCATCAGAGCAACCTAAAGACAGCGCATGGTACGAACACAGACAAACTACATGCTTAGCTCTGCTAACAACTTCTTGTGGCACCAGCAGCCTCGCAGCTGCTGGGCTTAGAATTATTTTTAAGGGGTCATCACAGGAATCCAACTTTTAAAAGACCATTAGATGTTATCTGGATTTCTAACTCCCTCAGATCTCTTTGCAACTCTCAGACCTGAACTGTTGTGTCTTTTATTCCTCACTATAGAAGAGTGTTAACCACCTCAGAGTAGGGTACACCTGAGAAGGGACTGTATCAGGGTTAACACTGTAACTCAACAGCATCAGAGCCTTTGGATGGAAGATTTTGCCAGATGATAATTGCTCCCAAATGCTTTCACTGCTGATCCCTTTTAACTGTGTGCAGGTGTTACTATTCACGGAAATCAGTATGATTTTAACCAGATTTTCATCTTAACCTGAGCTGCAATGTTGATGGATATCTCATAATTTCAAAAGAAAAGAAAAAGAAACGGAACAAAACTGCCTCACTGCACTACATGAGAAAACAAAGTAGATATAGACACCTCTCCCCTCAGCCCACTCCTCTGCAACAGAAACTCCCAGAAAGTCAGGGTGTCTTCAGGGATGGTACAGCTGAGAACAACCCACTCTTGGGAAAGGCTAGCAACCCCCATGGAAACTCACTTTCCATCCACAGCCTCCACTATCTTCACTGCAATCTCCTGTTCATAGAGAGTCCGCAGCATCCGATCCCGTCTGTCCTTCCGACGCTTCAAGTTGATCATGAAAATCTGTGTTGAAGAAAAACATATCACCCTTCCACTCTGGGAGTGAGGGAGAGAGAAGGGTCCTGATCCAACCTTCACCAGCAGGCCCATCAAAAGTGCAGATCTTATTAAATTATTGGGTGTGTTCTCATTATAGATTGTTTAGAATTTGTCCCCAAAATGGGGCTGGTTTTGAGTTGAAAGCCAACACCTGACTATAAGGACACTGTACAAGATAGCATTTTTGTAATTACTGCAGGTGCTGAAAATCTTCTGCTACCCCTGCCAGAGGAAAAGGCGGAGCACAGAGCCCAGGCCTTGAGCAGGGAAGTCTGGGCCCTGAGAAGGCAGATGCCTTGGCTGGAGGGCCGAGGGCCGAGACTCTCCTTCACAGGTAGAGCGCAGAGGGCCAGGGATCGGCTTTCAGTCCCAGAAAAACAAGCACAAGTGCAGCCTTGTAGCCCATGCAGCAACAGCTCATCCCAGTAAGGAGCGGCTGAAATTCCAGCTCAGTATAAATGCAAAAATAATAATTTGGATAAATAAAGTGCAGCCACAAAAGACAACACAGAAAAAAACCCACACCAGCTGTACTCTAAACAGAGACACACACACAGCAAAAGCAGGTTCAGACCTTGCTATATAAGCCATATAAAAGAAACAGCAGAATATGCCAAGGAAACAAAGTTCCCCCGTCACCATAATTCCGTCACTGCCACCTGGCATCAGGAAACAGCAGCTCTGTGAGCAGACTCCGGAGCAGAGCACATCCCTCTCCAGGCTTCCGCACCCAACGCCTGCTCTCCACAACACGAGGCAGAATTTCTACAGGGTCTTGGAATGCTACCAGTGCCAACAACTATCTTCCCAGCTCATTTTCATTTAAGGCAATAACAGGCAAACAAGGCCAGCAGGCGGGAGGAGAGGGCAGCGGCAGCAGGGACGGAGCACACGGACACGGCGCCTCGGGCTGCAGTCCGGCTCTGCTCCTGGCTCCCTGGCTCTCCCAGTGCTTGTTGCAGAATGGAAGGACTGCAAAGTTGTCCGATAGCGTCAGGTTTAGGGGAGACCACAAGCCAACCTCAGCTCTGCCATCCCCACCTAGGCTGGATCAACCTTCCTACCATGAGTGGGCAAAAACCCAGAGCTTTGCTGGATGCTGCTCTCGTACACAAGCCAGCACTCCTGATCAGAGCCCTTGCAGCAGGACAGAGCACGAGGCACTCACAGACTTGACTGGCCTCATGTCCCAAGCAAGGGCCAGAAGGCTAGAGCTCAGCAGAAGTTCTCCCTAAATAAAACTGGGTATTTTCTCCCTGTAAAAAGTTCCAGCCCCAGTGATGCACTGCTGGGAAGCAGCTAACTGCACAAAAAGATACAATACTCAAGGCTCAGCTGCAGAGGGAACCCAGCTCCTCTAGGTCACGGAAGACAGTAACAGCAAAACAGATTTCTTACTTCATCAAATCCCATCTTGTCAGGGTGCTTCGGGGGAACAGAGATGAACTGAGAGGGTTCAACAGGAGGACGATCAACTAAAAGAGATGAGAGATCCCAATATCACCTTCAAGAACACATCTGGCATTAAAATAACATATCCACACATCTTTTCATCACTGGGCTGGTATGTGATGCCAGGGCAGTAGTAAAGGCACCAGAAAGCCTCAGTGCAGCAAAGCAGAAGCCAGCAGCCATGACAAGATGAGGTTCTGCAGCATCCTTACACTACAGCTGCTTTTTTGAATTTGATTTGGAGAAGTTGAGGAGCTTTTGGAATGAAGTTGATCTGTCCTTGAGGTGATTACACCCACAACAAGAAAAATGGTGGAAAATAAAAAAAAAAACCTGCATATCAAAACAGCATGACACCAGTCAGATCAGGCTGTAAAGCACCCCATGAGGAACAAGCTGGGCTGCTGGCAGGGGAGAGCTCTACAGACACCAGCAAGGGTGCTCCACTGCTGCAGAGCAGACACTTACTCATGGCCTCGATCAGCGTGTGCACAAAGTTCTCGGTCTCCTCCTGCAGGCTCTGGTGTGATTTCAGAGGCATGGGAAGGAAACCATAGTGCTCACGGTTGCAGACGAACATCTGAATCCCTAGGGATCAACCAGAACGAGACGGGAGGTTTCACAGCAGGGGATTTTTAATGCTTTGCTGCTACGCAGCCAACTTATACCAGGAGCTCACTCAGGAGCTATTGCTTTGTAAGCAAGCACTTTGAAAACACCAGAGTGCCATTTTCTGTTTGATCTGGCTGGCAGACCTGGCCTTTTCTGCAAAACCACTTTCCACTTGCTCCTTAAAAGCAGGTATTTTTAAGCAGGTATTTTTATGTAAAAGCACAGCTCTTAGCCCAGAGAAAGGGTCTTTTTTAGCCTTTGCTTTCTGAAATCTCACACTATAAAAACAATCCCACAGCAGAGGGCAGAAATAGCCTCTACCAAAAGCAGACCTGGCACACACAGCCGGACCAGTGCAGATAACTAAAACAATCACAGAAATCACCAGTCCTCAAAATCCCACCTGCACTGCTCAGACCTGGCACCTCCCCTGACCTGATCCAGAAACCCAGCGCCAAAGCAGGGAATGATTGTTACAGACATTTTCTGAGTGAGCCAGCCTGGAGCAATGAAAAAATTCAAACAAACCAAGTATGGCCAGAGGTGACAGAGGCTTTTGCCTGAGCCCCGCCAGGGCTTCTCTGCCCTGCTAGGATAAATACGGAATGATTCGAGCGGGTTGGAAGAGCCAAGTCTGATCTGCTGGTTTCAACAGCACATGGTTGGTCAAACGTGGGCCCAGGCAGCTTGGCTCTCCAGGTATCTTGCAGGAAGTTATCACAAAAACCCAGGGCATCAATATAGCTACAACGCTCTGTTAGCAGCCTAGCAAGGGATTCACTCCAACTTTGCAGCCAAGCATCTTCCTGCTTCTGTTCATTTAAGCTGGGAAATGAAGACAAGATATTGTCACCTGTGTTGTCGAGAGAACTTTGAGGAATATGTATGACAACCATTTTGGAAGAGCTATGGCAACTACCAGATGGGGTCCTTTCCTCTGCAGGACTAGTTTTTATAGTGCCCTGGGAGTGAATCCTAGAGAGATACTAGCAACAAGAAAAGATGCTCTCAAGTAGAAGTGATAACATGACTTCCTTCTGCTCAAAGGCTTTTGCAAAACATTTCTCAAGGAGCTACATCTGAAGGTGCAAAAGAGTGCAGTGGCATGAGCCACAAAGTCTCTTCTTGGAGCAGATCCATGTGCCAGGGAGAGCAGCTCACTGCTCAGGTCACTCTTTGGGGATATCCCAGCAACTTGTGGCCAGCAGCTGCTGGACTGGCCAAGAGTTTGCTCTTGTTATCAGCAAAAACAGGATCAGCACTGGGCCTGGTGTCACATCATATAACAGTTTCAGAAATCACCTCTAGGGAAGCCGATGGAGAAAACTTGTTTTCATTGGAAGGCAGTTGGTTCATTAGCCGCAATCTGAAAGCTGCTACGACCTGTAAAACTCACAATGCCAATTAAAAAAAAAAAAAAAAACTCCAAAAACCTGGAAAGCTTTCTTTCTTTCTTTCTTTTAAGAAACAAGCTCAACCACCTTCTCCTCCCAGGAAAAAAAAAAAAAGAATGCAAAGCAAAGCAGACATTACCTGGTGTGTCAGTGCTTTCATGCTTTAGTCCCCCTAATCCCTGGTATTTTTAGCAGGGCAGAATTGTCTGTGTTAATGACTCTGTTTTTTCTGCCATTTTAAGTTCTGCAAGTAAATTGTTGGCTATGCTACTTGCCAAACCACATTCAGCTGTCAGCTGTAATTAAGGTAAATGACAGAATAAAAAATACTACCTGCTGACATTAATGGATTTGGCACTGATCTAATCAACTAATCTTATCTGGCTCACCGATCTCTCTTCTTATCTTCCGCTGGCTTAAACACACTTAATCTGTGCACATTCATGCCAATACTTTTGTTCGTTCTGGTTTAAAAGCCACCTTAAAATGGGAAAGCTCTGTGGCGATGCACTTTGTGTGGATGACAAAACAGGACACAATGCAACAAACAGACCAATGAGCTGGAGTGCTGAAACAAAGCTGTTCACGTCATGGCCAGCATCAGAGGAAGCTAGAGTGCTGGGATACAAGGGGAAAAAAAAGATGAACTCAAATCCCTGAAATATTTCTTAAGCGGCTGGACTTAATGCAGTGCAATGCAGCACTTGTTGAGTGCTACATCCCTGGGAGAGCTGTCAGTAGGGAATGAGCAAGTCAGGTAGACTTGAAGGAACTTGCTGTGCTATCCAAATTCCCACTTCTGTTCTCATCTGGAGCCAACATATCGACATTCTGACTCTGAAAATCAATCAGACCCTAAAGGCCCTGCAAGTTCACGTCTCATCTCCTCCACCTTCCTCTGCCTCCTCAGGGCTGTAATTTCAGCTCTTGCTACCTCTCCTCTGACTATGATTTGCCTTTCTCACTTTACGTCCTCTCACCCTGCTTTAGTTTACTTCAAAAAAAAACCTGCTTAGTCTGCCAAGACAGCACTGTCTTTTGCTGTGTTGCCAGGCACTCCAAACCAGCAAGATCACTAAAAGTAAAGCAGCAAACAGCTGGTGGCTGCTGTGCTGGTCTGGAAATGGGAAAGGCCGCCTGCTCAGCCCGTCTTCTCCAGAGGCCAGTGCCGAGCTACACCGCTTTGCTTTGGTTTCTCTCCACTTCTCTGTCCCCCTTCTCTCCCACCTTAGCTTTGCCTCTTTTGCAAAGAGCATATGGATCACATGAGCTGCACATCACTCACAGGACCCACAGACAACTTTTCTAGACAGGGGAAGAGGGTGCTGGGTTTGTGCTTTAGGCCCGAAAGACCATGACTTTTCTACTGCCAGTCTAATTGAAATCCTCCCATCCCACAGCACATGGTGATCCTAGTATCAGCCAGAGCACTACACATTTCCCCCTGCTGTGCCCCAAGGGCCATGCCTGCCCAGCTCACCGACAGCACACACACTGCAATGCCAAGTATGCAGCGACGTTACCCCTCACACACCAGCCCTAACGCACCCTGGCCTGGCAGAGATCCCCTCTCAGCACAGCCCGTCCAGCCAGACTTTGCATCAGTCATCTCTAAGTTACCGCGATTCTGTTTTCAAAAAAAAGCCTTTCAGACATTCATTTGCTGCGGTACTATGAATCGAGGCCTCACCAGTGCTATGTAATGAGGGCTCCATGAGGGCTCTCCATGAGGGCTACCAACCTAAAAATAGTTTCTTGCCCCTCTTAACAGAGTCTCCTGTAAGTGGCAATGTCAGATGCATTCCCGACAGTCTTCAATACGCCTTTCACCTGCGCAGTGATCACCTGTGTTCACAGTTGTCTTGTCTTGGTACAGACTAAAGGTAGATGAACAGTACCAGACATTTTGTGTATGAAACCCTTTCCCCAGCCCAGGAATCATCCTCAAGTCCTTTCAAGCCATCTCCAATTCAAAAATACGCTGCCAGTCATTTCCTTGCTGAAGGTTACCCCTGCCTGGACTGGAAAAAGGAAAGGGGACAACATAAACTCAGGGCTGAAGTTCATGCAAGGCCTCTGAGCCGTGAACTCAAAGATCTGCTCGTCCCTACTGGAGAATCCTCGGTGGGGAAGGCAGTGGACATACCTGCTTGGCGGCTAGAGAAGGCAAACACAATGATATCATCAAAGCTCCAGGTGTAGTCTTGGTGGGGCGGGTAGAATGTCAAATTGGTGGAAGCCTCTTTCCTCAGGTCGATGAGGAATGTGGAATGAACCATTGGGACGGCAAAACAACCTGTCCTCTTCCATTCCCGAATCAGAGGATAATCCAGGGTCCTTTTGTAGTAGCCCTGCAAACACAGCGACTGCTTGTTACAAGGGATTTCTGTTTCACAAGCTCTCACCCTCAGCTCTCTGCAGTGAAGAGGGGTCAAGTGCTTGTTTCTCAGACCTTGATATGCTTGGAAAGGACTGAAGCAAGTGTTTAGAAAATCACTGTCCCACACATTACAGCTTGACCCTCTGTCTTTTTAGCAGCCCTTGGAAACCGAAACCTCTGCAAAAATCCTCTGCAAAAATCTCTTGCAATAAAGCGCCAAACCTTGGACTATTTTCTCCAGATCATGAAAAACCTTTCTTTGCTCACTGAGTCTCAGCTCTTATGCTGGAAGGTACTTAGCACATGTGGCATCCTCTGAATTTAACAGACAAGGACTTGTAAATCAATGTTTAGAAAGTATTTGCTTTAGTGCAGTGAAGGCAACATGCCAGCCTTCATCAACAGTGTAAGAGTTGCTGCTTCCTCCATCCCAGGGACTAGCTGGAAGTTTCATCCCATGGGCAGGCAGCTTTAATACCCACCCTTGAGCTCTCCTCAAAGAGTGTGTCTGGGAGAGGCCCTTCAATCAGCTTATTTCCGTGTAACCACAAGCTTTTTAGCCTTTCAGCGCTGCACTGCCTCACCCATGTTGTGTGCCTTCCAGCTGGTTTTACAGGTGCAATCTATCTGAAGTTACCCATTTGGGAAATAAAGACACTGAATTGCTCTAGGTATGAAGTCCTAATGCACCAATTAGACATTTGAACATGGCCAAGGCAGATTCTGGTCTTTACAGAAATGATGAGTCACTAAAATAAGTTAAAATACTGGCTATTACATTTTCCACGGGTATCCCAGCAACAATAGCTGAGCTAATCTCTGCAGAACCGCTTTACCTTGGTTCTTTGTACGCACAGTCCCTGCAATCACACTGTGCAGCTGCCTGTCTGGGCATCCACTGATCCCCCCTCACTTTCAAATACCTTCTGAACATCCTGTGAGCACTAGATGCCTCCAACACAGCCAGTCTGACAGCAGTGAAAAGCAGTGAGCAGACAGACATCGTATGAGGTTTCCAGCTGACAGAAGGGTTAAGACAGTCAACCTTTAATAAACACCCAAGAATGCCCATAGGTGAACAATGCTGGAAACTACACTTTCCTCCTCCAGCCACTCTCTACTGGAGAGGTTTGGGGCTTTTTGCTCTACATATATCATGTGTAACCAGGGAAGGCTGCTGCCTTGCTTCTCCAAGGTCAGCTTAGCAAAGGCCATCTCAGTGTGGGGCTGTGTGGAGCCGGGCTGGGCTCGCTGTCGCTCAGCCCGGGCGGCCGCTGTGCCTCACCGAGCCCCAGGAGGGGCTGGCAGCTCCGTGAGGCTGCGGGACTAGCTGCGCAGAAACAAATTCCATCAACTAAAAGAAAAAAATATAAAAACAAAGCAGGAACAACTTCTTTTTTCCTCTCTTTTTATTTTTTTTCCTTCATTTGAACAGCTTTTCCCTAAAGGTCTGCAAGATGCATTTGCTGCTTCTTTTTTTTTTTTCTTCTGAGCTAACACTGGTAATGCTGGAAACCTCTTACTGGAGAAGTTAGTACTAGGGGCCAGGGTTCAGGCTGTGCACATAGGCAGAGATCCACTACTGTCTGTGGAGCAATCCTGATTTATATCAGTGGAGAACCTGGCTGTTACAGTACTTAACCTTAAAACCATGAAGAAAAATGCCCTCACTATGAAGCTTGAGTCTCCATTTTAAATTATATCATTTTCCAGGACTTTGGGTTAGGAACAGAATCAGTCAAGCAAGCTCAGCTTCCTTCAGATTCACTTTTTTTCAAGCAAAGAATCTTAGATGAGGAAGCAAATTTCAGTACTGTGCCTGCAAACCCAACACAGAACATGCGCAACTTTGCTCATTCCTAGAACCAGATCATTAGAACACAAAGCTTGAAAAACAAACACTCACAGACTGCAATTTTCTCTTGTCCCTTATTCCTAGATTCCCTAAAAACATATGGTCCTTTCCCAAACATACCTGCACAAGATCTGGAATCTCACTTCTGATAGAGGTGCAAACTTGTGGCAAGCGCATGACAGCACTATCATGGCTACAGGGTATTCCCTGCATGTCTCAGAAACAGGGCAGCTCGTTTCAGAACAGGGAGCAGACCATACTACAAAAGTGGCTGGAAAAGACCACAAAGCAGCAAACAAGCCTACTGCTTCACAGACACAGGCAAGAAGGCCTTTCAAAGCACCCAGCTTGTGCAGCCACCTGGCACAGCTCTCAAGGTCACTTGCCTGAGGGGTGATGCCACACCAGAAGTTAGAGTAGAGAGAGCGAGACTCGAGCATCGGTGCTACCAACGTCTTGTTTTCTGCTATCATCAGGCTCAGAGTGTCCGGATTGGTCAGTAAGTTATCTGCATCAATGAACTAGTCAGGAAGAGGGAAAAAGAAATAAGTTATTAGACAAAACAATGTGTTTTTTTGAAAACAAGGTGCCTAGAGTCATGGGATATTTCAGATGGGGATTTTCATATCACAGGACAAATATCCCTTGTAGGTTAACCCAAGAGTGGCAGCCCTAGCAGTACAGCTGTAAGACTGGAAAAAAATGCAGAGCTTCCCTCTGACTCCACAGAATGTTACTCCAAAACTGGGGCAAGGGAGTTGTAAGGGAAAATTACGCTGCCTAAAATTTAGAACAGGGTTATCCTGTGAAGATGATCAAGAGGAGCTATTAAAAAAAAAAAAAGAGCCTCACAGCCTCATTGTGCTGGGAACACCACCATTAACTGCTGCTGCAGCGACCAAAGGCACACATCTTCCCATATCTGCTGAATATTTCCTTCAAGTTTTATCAGTAATAGGTTGGGTTGCAATCTGGGAGCTCTTTGCAGGGCACCTGCTCACCACCAGGACTATATTCAGTCCTGTCAAACACAGATCCCAAGCCCGAGCCCAAAACTCTGTGGAGAAAGCCTGTGGAGAAATTCAGAACCTGCAGCTCCAAGTTCTCTTGCTCATCAGACCAAGAAAACGCACAAGGCAGCTCACTGCTTCTATAAAAGCAGAGGGAACAGCCCCAGTACCAGAGCAACTATCTATCTCAGAAGCTTTTGCCTGTGGAGAGTTAATAAATCAAACCCAGATTTATTATCCTCAACCTACCAAGATATAATCTGACCACTTCTCTCGTGCAGCACGAAGGGCAGCTTGTCGGAGTTTCATGACATGGGTAAATCGGGAACTTGGCCAATGTTTTGGTCCAGCTTCTTCTGGGTAAGACCTAGCAAAAAAAAACAAAATAGGAACCAGTGACCGCACCCATTTCTAGTACCTAGTAATGTAGTCAAAAAAAGTCATCATGTTCCCTTGCTGCCTTCAGGGCAAAAGAAAAACAGAGTCACCTCAGGCAACCCAGGAGAGCAAAAAAAATGAAAGGCAGGTTTCTGAGAGACACAGATTCCAGCCTTCATGCTGGCATATGCACACAGGGCACTGGAGAAGAAGCAACTCTGCAGCAGTTCCTGCCAAGTGGCCACAGGCAAAACAGCACTAACAAAAACAGCAGCTTCTTCTGCGGCAGGCCAGGCCCCTCACAACGTACGCAGGGGCTGCCCCACTGGAAGGAACTGAAGCTGATTTACCTCATCTGACCTCGTGGTAGAAAGTCCTCTGCCTTCTGTTAGGTTTTAAGACTATAAATAAGGCTTCTTTAAGCCCAGCAGAATCAACACAGCTGGGGATGTGGAGAATGAGCAGCACTTTGGATTCCCTCAGGGTTTGGGCATTATTAATAACTGTTGAGACATCCTGATATCAGCTTTTAAATCTGCAAACACTCAACACCCAATCCCAGGAGCCCAATCAGTGAGCAAAGTTATGCACATATTTCTGTTTTCAAGATCATGTCTAAAAGCAAAATCTTCATAACACAGGATGGAAGAAAACTTGGGGACAGATCCTTACATGGGTTAAATGTTCAGGGCTTTAAAACAGTGTCCAGAGAAGTTAGCAAAGGTGCTAAGGATTTAAAAAAACTTTTTACAAAAAAATTAAAAAGACAACATTTAGAAAGTAGAATTTCGATGGAAGGATTTGATAAACAATTCATTCCCTGTTGGTTTGCAAGACAAAACCCCACCACTGCACTAAGGACCTTGAAAGTACAAGCAAGCCCAAGCAAAGGGGAAGCTGATAAACTCTTCCCAGATCAGAGAAACAGAACACAAAACATGGAAGCGCTGATCTTAAATAACAGTGATGATTAAAAAAAAGGCAAAAAACCCACCAACAAACACCATTCTTCCACTTTGAAAGCCTGCACATAGATAGGTGTCATCCTTCGTTCCTTAAGAGAGGATTCTCTTTGAACCTATCAGCATATTTCAAAGTAATGATTGTGCAAGTTGTGCGACAGGATAAGGCAGTGCTGAGTTAAATCTAGTTCTCTGGCTCAGAACTTACTGAATATTTGATGCCAGGGACACAGTTTTCATATAAACTATGGGAATGGGCTATAATTCTCTGATTCCTTGCAAATAAAGAATGACGATTTTTGTTCCCTGAAGCTTTTGATGTGATCTGTTTACCACACAAACAGAACAGCTGCAGATGCTAGACAACTTTCTGTTCTCAAGGTTTCTGTGAACTGCTTCACAGAAGTCAGAGATCCTTCTCTAGCAGCGTCCAAATGAGACAGACCCTGCAAAAACTATGTTTGAATGGCTGGATGATTAGTATGTGCCCTGGTTTGAAACAGAAAACCCCGAAGTTTGATATATGCTCTCATGAACTTCAGTCAGCCCCCACTGCAGTACTCACTGGGGATCCTCCATCGGCCTCCACTCCACATCGTGATAAAGGTTCTGCACATTCTTCAGCCACTCTCTAAGGATTGCTGTAGTGTTGTCAATATTGTGGTCAGTGGCTGCCCTGGAAAAATGACAGCACAAAGAACCCCATTAACACAAGATTTAGGCTTAAGGAACAAACATAATAAAAATGTATTAACTCCCTCAGGTTTTCCCATTTGCCCTAGCCTACAAGACTTCTGAAGGTACTGCAGAAGTTGTGTTCCTGATCTTCTTTGCCTTTTCCCAGCTGGCCAATGATTTGAACCCAGGAAGAACCTGCTCCTTAGAGGCACATCCAACTTCTGGCAGAACTTGGTGAAACTCCATAGAAATGCAGGTCCTCATTCAGGTGTCCAGCAGAGCCCCACTTGCCCACAAACAATCCCTCAGCTTAGGCCACGCTGCACACCACTGTCTGCTGCAGCAGCCTGATCCTGCCTTGCAGGAATCACAGCCGCTTTGCCGTGGACCTGAAGTGGACACAGGGCTTAATCCTGCTCTTAGCACCTGCATGGTGAATTTTCCATGCTGACTCATGAGTCACATCCCTTCAGTTATCAGTTCACCCTGTGGAAGGAATAGGATGGAGCATCACATGGGATAGCAGTCCAGGATAAGTTAGCCACAAAGACTATATGCATACATAAGTACATTTAGAAGCACGAGGCGTTTGTTCTGTTTGATGTCCTGTTCTCAAGCCCACTGCTGATGCTGCACAGCCAGGCGCTGAGCACTCAAGCCCTGTTGCCTCACCCCACGGCCTGGGAATGTCACATGCCAGGATGGGGGTGCTCCACGGAGACACTGCAAGGAGCTCCTGCTAATGCTAATGCAAAACACTGACTTGTGGAAGAAAGCTTAATATTGAAGGACTGTGGGTGACTCATTCCGTGACATTTATCCTGCAGGCCTGCTCTCAGGAACTAGCCCAGCAGGCCAGGCATGGTCACTGAGCCCACTCCAGCTTCCAATCCTCCTGGGACCAGATTATCCAGACCCATGAAGTTCTGCTGCACAGGCCAACAACCATTGTCCCAAGAGACCCAGGGGCTCTGACACTAAAAGCTCTGACCAAGGTTGCTGAGCTTGGCTGAAGACCCATAGTGTTCATAGCGAACAGCCTCCAGACAGAAGTGAGACACATGAATGGGAACGTGGAGAAATCTCCAAATCTACCCCTGAGGAAGCTGCTAGGGAAAAAAATGGCATTTTGGTGCCCAAGCTGCAACAGTGTTGTCATGTAGCAGGTAAATTCACACCCTGGCACAAAGGGCTGCTGTCTCCAGGACTATCCACTCAGCAGCATTTCCAGGCTCAAATTTTTCAAAGGCAATAAAGTTCGTCATGCCTTGGATGAAACCTGCCCTGTGCCTAGCGATCTGGCAAACAAAAAATTTCCAGCTGGGTTTCAAACATCAAGCCATTCTCAAGAGCAATTATGACCAGTAGTTTCAGAACAATTCACTTCTAACTATATCGAAAGAAATCAGCACTTGCTCCTATCGCAATATCTGTACCACTGGGGTCCACTTATTCCCCCAGAAAAAAAGTATCAGTTATGGTGCTTGAAATATTCCTCTACGGAAAATCAGGCTAGTGCTGTCATTTTAAGTAGCAACCACTGCTAAGGAAAAATGGCAAATGAAAATAAGTGTTGAGCTGCTCCTGGCAGCAACCACTCCTTGAGCCATGAGAGGCACAACAGGCCCTGCTGTTATAAGCCATGTTTCTCACTCCTGGACAATTCGCGGAGCTTGAAAAGGCAGAGTATGACACTTAAAACTTCAGCACTGCCTCAGACAGTTGGACCAGCTGTATCCTGTTGGGTTTTAATCCAGTTTCAAGACAGCAGAGCCATCCTTGCTGCAAACCGCAGCAGCACCACTGCTGCCAGCGGGGCACTCCTGCCCAGCCTGGAACAGCGACTGTCCTTGCTCTGCATGATGCCACCAGGCAGGAAGGTTTGAGCTGCACACACAAAACAGCCCTCACATGTACTGTGCCTGGGACAGTGACTCTGGGCCATGGGATGAGGCTGTTCACAACCCAGAAAGTATCATGTGAAAGATGCTATGCTGAAAGCATTCAGGGCTGAATTCTCTTGGGGGAAGGCCTACAGGCAGCAGCAGCAAAGCTGCACGTGACACATGCAGAGGAGCTGCTTGGTCTCCTATGGGAACATATAGGAAGAAAGTTTGGTGTGGCCAGGGATGAAAACAGTGGTCTGATTGCTTGATGCTTAAAGGATTTTCTGAGGCCAACCAATATGGGAACATATAGGATGAGTTAATTGCATCAGTATTCTCAGTTGGGTTTAGAAGATATAGAAATACAAAGGGTGAGATGTTAATAAGGGTCACCTGTGAAAGATAAAGAGCGGTGAGGATATAGAGGTCACCTGGTAAGGTTGTTGAAATACCCTGGGCTGAGAAGGGGCTCCTGGGCTGTCCTGATCCTCAGTGATCCCTACAAATGGTGCCTGAACAGGGACTGACACAGGCAATCAGGGAAGATCATGCAGTGAAGCAAGCTCAACAGGACGAATGGGAAACAACATAAATGGTAAGGAAGCTCTGGACATGCGGGAGGAGTGTGAGCCAAGGAAGCTCTGGACACTTGGGAATATGTTGGAGTGTGAGCTGGGGAAGCTCTAGCCATGCAGGAGTGTGAGCCTCAGAAGCTTTAGTTACTGGAAAGTGGGAGCTTAGCTGTTGAGGATGATAAGAGAATCTATGACTCAGGAGCAGAAGATTTATGACTAAGGAACAGAAAAAAGGGAATAGGATAAAGAGACCAGCTCTGTGAGAAAGAAACCAGCTGTAGGGACTGTTTATTTCAGAAAAACTAAAGGAAGCAACAGAATAGAGGAGATTCTCTTATTAGAGAACAAAAAAGGGGGGAATATGTAGGAAGAAAGGTTGGTGTGGCCAGGGATGAAAACAGTGGTCTGATTGCTTGATGCATAAAGGATTTTTCTGAGGCCAACCAATATGGGAATATATAGGATGAGTTAACTGCATCAGTATTCTGAATTCTGTTTAGAAGATAACAGGAATACAAAGGGTGAGATGTCAATAAGGGTCACCTGTGAGAGATAGAACTGTGAGGATATAGATGTCACCTGGGAAGATTGTTGAAATACCCTGGGCTGAGAAGAGGCTGCAGGGCTGTCTCTGCTCCTCAGTGATCCCTAGTGCGTCCTGCTCGAGCTTGCCTGCTGCCCCCAGGGCTCCTGCACCCCAAACTCCTCTAGGCAGCACTGTTCCCCAGCCTGTGCCTCTGCTGCAGGTGCTTCCTCCCCATGTGCAGGACTGCACAGATCTCCTGACTGAATTTCATGAGATTCTCTGTGGACAGCTCTTCTCAAAGCCAACACGCACTCCATTGATAGGGGTAGAAGATTTAAACAGCAAGATCCTTTCAAAAGGGGCAGGTTATACTGTTGACCTCTGCCTTAAGGAAAGGCAGCAGCTTCAGTTCAAGAGCTGATTAGCAATGTCTGGAATTTCCTTAAAGAAAAAAGGATCCTACAGGTAAAGAGCTTGTGTGACATAGCAAGGAAAAGAATTAAGCTCTTGCCATTCTTTTCGGGCTTCTTCAGGGCAGGAAAGCTTAATTGAAAGATTAATTGATTAAACTGTATATACCTCCTAATGGTCATACCTATTCCAACAACATGGCAGCTTTTTCTGCTCAGATTTAAACCAATTTTTGATAAAGAGATTTTTTTTTTTTTTTTTAAAAAAGGGGGGGGGTGTTCATAGAGGGGTTTATGTCAGCATAACTACAACCACTTTGGTATTTACCTTGGCTCTTACCAGTTGTCTTACCATAGACACAAGCCCTCACAGTCCAGGCTCAGCAGAGTACCCCATCCCAACTACCATGAATGGTGGAAAAATAAGCATAACTGCACATACCTACCATTTAAATTAAGTAACATGTGAGTAGCAATAGACTAGGAGAATGGCTTCTTTTACAGACTGCTCTTATTTTTAGCCTGATAGTGTCTCCTCAAACTGTGCTTGCAAGAAGGAGCTAATTTAGACTTTGATGATCCCCTTCTCCCATAAAAAGCAACAACAAAAAAACCCTACCACATGCCACCTTTTACTCTTGACATCCCAACCTGCCCTTCCAAGCTATTTACAGTTTATTTGTAAATAAGGTACTAGGTCAGAGGAGAAAATATTCATCTTTACTGTCTCTACAGGAAAAGTACAGTGGGACAGAAAGAACACTGTGTCCCTCTGGCTTGTCCAAGTGTGCCTCACACTGCCACGTGCTGTGGGAAATGCTACAGCCCTTCAGTAATTTTCCTACAAAACTCAACATTTACTAGCTCTTCACTTTGACAGACTGATAGTGTGAAAGGGCTTCTCACAGTGATAAGGACTTAATGTTTGAAAACTGTATTCTCCACATCAGAGTCAGAACTGAAGGTAGCTGGTCTTCAAAAACTGGAACTAGGAGGAGTATTCTTTTCCTTTCTAGCAGTGCTTTGAAAAATAAAACTCAAGGAGGTTATTGGATTTTTCTCCACTAGTGCAAAGAAATGGAGCAGAAAGACTGGATCTCCATCATTTAAATAAATGGGTCCCAAATCACTTATTCCAATGGCAGACAAGCTAAGACACTCGGGTGGCCCTTTTTCCTCACCGTACACCAAGCACATACATGTTGGGTGAGGGCAGTCAGGAAACTACCTGATGGTTGGGGCTGCACTGAGAATAGCTCAGATGAAAGGGATGACTGCTGCTTTCCAGGGCCCCTGCTGCTTCTGGGTGAAATGAGATCAAGCTGAACATGTCCCAGGGAAACTGAGATATCCATTTCAGCTGTCTCTCTTGGTTGCTTTTCTCTTGTGGCTAGTGACTCAGGGCCTGCTGCAGGATTTAGCTCAACAGCAAGTTCCTCTGAATCAAGAGCCATAGGTTGGCCACACACCCTAAACCCACAGAGACTCATCCAAAGGCAGTGGAAAGGTCATTCCTAACTGGTTTCCACACAGACCAAAGTTGCTTACAACAATTATATGCAAGAGCAGCACAGAGTTGCCCATTGCATCATAAACAGACA